ATTTGCTTCCTTTCAGGACTAGAAGTACACTGGGTATCTCTCTGATGGCTGCCATGAATGGTCACGTCCCTGCGGTCAAGCTGCTGCTGGACATGGGCTCAGACTACAACACTCAGATCGAGACCAACTGCAACACAGCACTGACCCTGGCCTGCCAACGTGGAGCACCGTGACAAGGTGAGAGCAGCCTTCATCGGCTGAACCTGACATGTTATGTTCTCTGGGCTAGAGTCAAAGACATTAGGAATTGGGTATGGTGTCCGACTGTGTGGTGCAGTACTTCACTGACCCATACGTTCTCTCTGACTGGTCAAACTCCTCTCATGGAGGCTGAGGTGGGGCATTAACGTCAGCGCTCTTGTCCAGCAGCACATGCTGCAACATCTTCTCTCTCTTTTAGTCCGGTCCATCTCAGAGCTGTGACCAACCCTAATTTCCCGGGCCTAAACATGTGACTCCTCTCTGACTGAATATGTGTGCTGTTGTGGATGGGGCTCTGCTCCCTACTTCCTACCCTGTGATTTGTTGTATGAATTGCTTTGATCTGAGGCTGTAGTTTATATTGTATTTTTATTATATGTGTGTGTGTGTATGTGTATAAGGGGACACTGCTGTGGTGGATGTGTGGCTAAGGGCTATGTTCCCTACTGTTAGTTTACAGCTGTTTTTGTATTTTGATATAGTATAATGCAACTGAATTGAAAACTATCAGGGGGGTGGATGGATAATATTAATATGAATTTGCATCGGGACACTTCTGCAGTATACACCTGCAGTATCGACTTAGTTCTGGCAGACAGAATGGGCCGATTCTGGGCAGTCATTGAACCGGGGTCCAATACCTATCAGTGAATCGTTACATCCCTAATGTTTCCCCCTCTCCATGTCCGTACCTCTCTCACTGTGTATTTGACATCCTTGCTAGCTGGGAAAAATGTCAGAAGATCTTTTTTTAGTTTTAGTTACAGCACAATAAAAAAGCAATACAAATTGTCATTACCGCCATACCTTCTCCGCTATGCAATCCGGTTTCCGAGCTGGTCATGGGTGCATTTCAGCCACGCTCAAGGTCCTAAACGATATTATAACCGCGATTGATAATAGACAGTACTGTGCAGCCGTCTTCATCGACCTGGCCAAGGCTTTCGACTCTGTCAACCACTGCATTCTTATTGGCAGACTAAATAGCCTTGGTTTCTCAAATGACTGCCTCGCCTGGTTCACCAACTACTTCTCAGATAGAGTTCAGTGTGTCAAATCGGAGGGCCTGTTGTCTGGACCTATGGCAGTCTCTATGGGGGTGCCACAGGGTTCAATTATTGGGCCGACACTTTTCTCTGTGTATATCAATGATGTCGCTCTTGCTGCTGGTGACTCTCAGATCCACCTCTACGCAGACGACACCATTTTGTATACATCTGGCCCTTCATTGGACACTGGGTTAACAAACCTCCAAACGAGCTTCAATGCCATACAACACTCCTTCAGTAGCCTCCAACTGCTCTTAAACACTAGTAAAACTAAATGCATGCTTTTCAATCGAACGCTGCTGGCACCCGCCCACCCGACTAGAATCACCACTCTCGACGGGTCTGACATAGAGTATGTGGACAACTACAAATACCTAGGTGTCTGGTTAGACTGTAAACTCTCCTTCCAGACTCACATAAAGAATCTCCAATCCAAAGTTAAATCTAGAATTGGCTTCCTATTTCGCAACAAAGCCTCCTTCACTCATGCTGCCAAACATGCCCTCGTAAAACTGACTATCCTACCGATCCTTGACTTCGGCGATGTCATTTACAAAATAGCCTCCAACACTCTACTCAGCAAATTGGATGTAGTCTATCACAGTGCCATCCGTTTTGTCTCCAAAGCCCCATACACTACCCACCACTGTGACCTGTACGCTCTTGTTGGCTGGTCCTCACTACATGTTCGTCGTCAAACCCACTGGCTCCAGGCCATCTATAAATCACTGCTAGGCAAATCCCCGCCTTATCTTAGCTCATTGGTCACCATAGCAGCACCCATCCGTAGTCTGCGCTCCAGCAGGTATATCTCACTGGTCATTCCCAAAGCCAACACCTCCTTTGGCCGCCATTCCTTCCAGTTCTCTGCTGCCAATGACTGGAACGAATTGCAAAAATCTCTGAAGCTGGAGACTCTTATCTCCCTCACTAACTTTAAGCATCAGTTGTCAGAGCACCTTACCGATCACTGCACCTGTACACAGCCCATCTGAAATTAGCCCACCCAACTACCTCATCCCTATATTGTTATTTATTTTGCTCTTTTGCACCCCAGTATCTCTATTTGCACATAATATCTTGCACATCTAGCATTCAAGTGTTAATACTATTGTAATTATTTTGCACTATAGCCTAATTATTGCCTTACCTCCATAACTTGCTACATTTGCACACACTGTATATATATTTTCTGTTGTATTTTTGACTTTATGTTTTTTTTACCCCATATGTAACTCTGTGTTGTTTTTATCGCACTGCTATGCTTTATCTTGGCCAGGTCGCAGTTGTAAATGAGAACTTGTTCTCAACTGGCTTACCTGGTTAAATAAATGTGAAAAAAAAAAAAAAAACGCCACCAACTTGTACGGGGTGTAATAACAGCCATGGTTGATGCTTTTTGCGTTCAGAAATTAGCATATAAATAGTTACCAACAAGCGGGTCAGACGGCGCCCCACTGTTTGATACATATCACGTGATTTCTGATTATAGTTCTCGATTATATTGAGTGGTTGGTTTTGTATGGGGTGACCTTTTCTATTATCCTTACACACTGACCCTGTATACATGCTTTCGGAGTTATCGGAAGTTCCGACTGGGAAGTTTCACTTGAACGACCCTACAGCATAAGCAACATTGTTTGAAGAATTGTTTCGACCAAAAAGCACATGAATGAAACAAAGCCGTATTATCGAAATTAAATAGGAAGCTCTGATGAGCTCATGAACGCAGCATAACCAAGTGGGAAAGTGGTAATTACTAGTTGTGAAGTCGTAAATACAAATTGGATGCATTCACACATGCTTTGAACTCGTTGAAACGCCGATTGGCTAATGGCCAACAAGCTGATCAACCATAAACTAAAAGTACAGCTATCAATCATACTTGTAAACTAATTATAGTGTTAAAAAAAACATATAAATATATTGCTTTTATAAAGAATGTTTAGTTACACATAAGTGGCGAAAATTCTGTTATGGAAATAATTTCCTTAGGCGATATCAGAGGTCATCATGTGGGAGAAGTCGGAGCTCATTCAACTGGGAAATCTCCGACATCCGACTTCAGTGAGTTCAATGCAACTGGCAATTCGGGGGAAATGTATTTCGACTGGGAAAAATGGGTTTGAAATGTCATCCAACTCGGAATTCCAAGTCGGAAACTCTGGGATCATCCTAGAGCTCCGACTTCTCCGACCTGAATATCACTGACGTCACGATTTGACCTCGTTTTTTCCCCGAATCCCAGTGGTCGTGAAAGCACCGCTAGAGATGATGGATTCTTTCCCCCACTTGGTTATGAACGCAGCACTAGTAGTAGTACCTTACAAAACTACAATTAATTTACCATAAATGTTTATGCACATATCTGGAGGCATATGATTTTGTATAGAGGGAAATAATAAGTAAAACCATGGTTCTAGTTTTCTTGAAGCGGATGTGGAGGCGGAAGTGGAGGATTGATACATGGTAGTGATATGGTCATTGCTAGTAAAAGAAAGGTGGAAAATATCTCAATATATACAATATTCGAACGTTCAAAGCGTCGAGCAACATAGGCATTTACTGAACAATTATAGACGAAATGTTTATCCTGAAAAAATTTGTATTGTTCCAGAACTGTGCGAACTAAAGAAAGACACCATACGAAGTTATTGGCCAGCAACTAGCAAGCAGTCACAGCACTGTGTGGCTAGGCTAAATTAGCTAAGCTTGCCAGCTAGCTAGGAAGTATCGTGTTTTTTAATGACAACGGCAGCTAGAAAAGTACTCGAGTGACACGAAGCAGGATAACTGTGTGCATGAGACTGGTTTAAATTAGTTCGTCTGGTTTATTGTGGAGCAAATAACGTTTGTTGCTGAATCGGGAATGTCGACCCTTCAACTCCACGGAACCCCCTGCCTGTTGTAGCAACGAGCTAGCTAATGTTCTCGTGCAAATGAATGGACGTCGCAGTGGACACGGTTTGATCAACAATGTGCGCAAATTGCTAGCTAACTGCTCTCGTTTCAATGTTGATTGTCATCAGCTACTCGTCGGATGAAGAGGGTTGCACTCATTTAGGCTGGAAAACTACTCAAGAAGGTCATCATTAGATTGGATAACCACTTAGACACAACTTTAAATGGATACAATTGCGAAATCTGGTGAAATAATGCATTATCCTGGCACATGAAGATGTCGCAACCGATGGATATTCAAAAGTGAAATCGCAAATAATGTGGAAAATGTTTATTCGGTGAATATGGGGCTTAGAAGAGTTATAAATTATAGTTATAAAACATTTTTTGGTCCATTTTTAGTTTGTTGCGGGATCATATGTCACCATTTTAAAGGGGAGTGATGGCGCTTTTGACTGATCTTGTCCTGCGCCCCAGGTAGTTCTCAGCCCTGCAGTTCACGTTGCTGCACGGGAGTGGTGGGTGTGGACGCCGCCCGGCTTGGCCCAGCAATTTCCTTAAAATGGAATAGGAATGGACATTTATTTTTGATCTTTTACAGTTTTGTCTTTGAGACGTCAACACAACAATATTGTCATGTCGCCCAGCTGTTGGCATATCAAGAAATTTTCTTCATTGAAATGATTTTTCTTGAGACTAAAACTATCATGAACATGAAGGAGAAGTTGCCGAAGCAACAATATCTGTGCTAATTGAAAGATGGCCTCACTCAAAGATGTCAACATAATGCATTTTTAACACAAGTACTATTGGTTTTTTAAAAGAGAATTTTACAGTTGTGATTTCATCATGTCTGATTTTGCCGAATTTGTACCCCCTCCTGAGTGCCCAGTTTTTGAGCCGAGTTGGGAAGATTTTTCGGATCCACTAGGATTTATAAACAAGATTCGACCTATTGCAGAGAGAACTGGCATCTGCAAAATTCGACCGCCCGAGGTAACCTCACTGTCTCTGCTTTTGGAATATAACACATTGCTTCCATTTTAAGATTTACGGCTGCATTGGTTTGTGCCCTTGTCATCTATTTATGTTATTTTCGGCCTAGCCCGACGCACATTTTTAGTTGGGCAACGACATTTTACTCTTTGAATTTTTCACTTGTGGAGGTCAAATATTAGTCAAATTTCTTGTCTGTTTCTCATTTTATTTTAACAATGATTTTGGATGTTTATATTTAGCCAAACTGTTAAAGTAAAGTCGTCATTTAAAACAGCGGCCTCTATTCAGGACTCGCGTCTGTGACTCTTTGTTTTCTTTTTTGGTGTTTCCTGGACAGATCGGAACTGTTACATTCGGGATATCAAGTAAACGTTACACGAATTAGATGAGGTCTAGATACATTTTTGAACGATTCACAATTTGATATATCAACTCCTAGGTGCTTTTCATTTGATGTCCTAGATGTCCAAGTCTTTTCTACATCATGACTACAATATTAACAATATGCATGTATTTAGCTGTAAAGAGTAATATATGTTTTGTATGGTTTGGGATAGGCCTACAGTAGCAGGAAGTGAAATTAGAACCTTAAAGCACTACGTTTCATGTTTTTCATATTTGGCCTTGTGCAAATCAAATGTATGTCTATTGGCCTTTTTGTATTTTTCTCTTTTATTCCCTTTTCCCACACAGAACCTTTGAGTGAATAGGCTAACCCTCTTATATTTGCCGCACTTAAACTTGACAGTTGCTTCTGGGAGGTTTTCTTTGATGCACTGTGCCCCAATATTATTTGTCTTTTGGGGATAAATCTGTGCCCATTTTGAAGCAATTAGACTACAGGGGCTTAAATTATGATTTGTGTCATATCCAGTATTCAGTTAACATTTTAGATATTATTATACTTTTTTTTTTACATCCAATTTCCAGGGCTGATGCTTTCCCAATCTGTATCAACACATCCTTATATTATTTATGTGAAAAGGGGATTTGAATACTGTTATGTAATGTTTATGTTGTCAAGTATTTTCTAGTTTTTTGTTGTTGCTTTTACTTCCTCATTACTTCATCATATAAAAATATGAACCAAAGTTGTTCATTTGGTTTCCATTGTTCTCTTCTCTGTCTTTTAGGACTGGACACCTCCTTTTGCCTGCGACGTACGCAACTTCCGCTTCACTCCCAGAGTCCAGAGACTCAATGAATTGGAGGCAAGTATACTGTACCTAGTTACGACACTGTGAAGGCTATGTTGGAAATACAGTTAGGTAGCCTGGATGTAGTCATTATAAGGTATAGGCCTAAATAGAGGTATTGCCTAAGTAAGTTGTCAAATAGGCTAGTTATTCAGCTGAGTTTGTTGTCAGTCATTCACTGATGTATGTTATTTAAACATATGTTATTATGTATTCTATGAATAAACATGTTTTTTGTGAGTAGGTAGCCCAAACGTTGGTGTGGCTGGACAGTGCAGACCTTATGTGCATTGACTGCAGCTGTCGTCACATTTTGGGGGCAGCACTCTTGTATACAATGACTGAGTTAACAGACCACTGGCCTGAATGGGTGGTAGGCCTACTTTAGGAAGGGTTTTTAGGGTCAGAAAAGTTGTAGCCTAGCCTACCTTAAGAGTTGAAAGGATATCAGTCACTGGCATGTGTAGGCTATGTCTTTACTTGGATTTCTCCTAGGCTACACCACTCAAAGACACCTCTTTATACTCCTGTTTAGAGTTGAGCATGCCAGATTTTTCACTTGAATTGACTTTCATGTGTTTGTGTACCCTTCCCTCACCTCTCCCATTGCTTTCAGGCCCTCACTCGAGTCAAGCTCAACTTCCTGGATCAGATTGCCAAGTTCTGGGAGCTGCAGGGGTCCAGGCTGCGCTTCCCTCATGTGGAGAGGAAGATCCTCGATCTTTACCAGCTCAGCAAGGTAAGACCGGCGTCAGACCATTCACCTGAACAGTATACTGTGTTTAGAAACATGCAGGGTGGTGTGTTTGTGTAAGTATGCTATAATGTATTTATAACTGAGGAGTAAGTAGTGTTTGTTTTGGATTTTGTTTTAGGACAACAATAATAATAATAATATGCCATTTAGCAGACGCTTTTATCCAAAGCGACTTACAGTCGTGCGTGCATACATTTTTGTGTATGGGTGGTCCCGGGGATCGATCCCACTACCTTGGTGTTACAAGCGCCGTGCTCTACCAGCTGAGCTACAGAGGACAAAGAGGTGCTAAGTGCTGGTGTACATCTCCTTAGTATTCTGAAAATATGCATTTTGTGTATGAGTCAACCACAACCATCTTACTAAAAAACATTGTATTTCAGATTGTCTCCTCTGAGGGAGGCTTTGAGACAGTGTGTAAGGAGAAGAGATGGTCCAAGGTGGCCAGCAGGTTGAGTTTCCCCCCAGGGAAAGGTACGGGCTCTCTGCTGCGGTCCCACTTTGAGAGGATCCTCTACCCCTACGAGCTCTTCCAGTCTGGAGCCACGCTCACTGTAAGTGCTATTGGTCGACACATGCACACAATAACATGTAGGCTAGATGTCTGTGGAGTGTGAGAAATGTTTTTGTGATGTCAATAGAGGTATTGAATTGCATCAGCCCTCTTTCGACAAGTGTTAGGTGTGGATCATCAAATCAAATTTTATTTGCCACATGCGCCGAATACAACAGGTGTAGACATTACTGTGAAATGCTTACTTACAGCCCTTAACCAACAATGCATTTATTTTGTAATAAAAATGTAAAATAAAACAACAACAAAAAAGTGTTGAGGAAAAAACGAGCAGAAGTAAAATAAAATAACAGTAGGGAGGCTATATACAGGGGGGTACCGGTGCAGAGTCAATGTGCGGGGGCACCGGCTAGTTGAGGTAATATGTACATGTGGGTAGAGTTAAAGTGACTATGCATAAATAATTAACAGAGTAGCAGCAGCGTAAAAAGATGGGGTGGGGTTGGGGGGGCAGTGCAAATAGTCCGGGTAGCCATGATTAGCTGTTCAGGAGTCTTATGGCTTGGGGGTAGAAGCTGTTGAGAAGCCTTTTGGACCTAGACTTGGCGCTCCGGTACCACTTGCCGTGCGGTAGCAGAGAGAACAGTCTATGACTAGGGTGGCTGGAGTCTTTGACAATTTTGAGGGCCTTCCTCTGACACCGCCTGGTATAGAGGTCCTGGATGGCAGGAAGCTTGGCCCCAGTGATGTACTGGGCTGTACGCACTACCCTCTGTAGTGCCTTGCGGTTGGAGGCAGAGCAGTTGCCGTACCAGACGGTGATGCAACCAGTCAGGATGCTATCGATGGTGCAGCTGTAGAAACTTTTGAGGATCTGAGGACCCATGCCAAATATTTTCAGTCTCCTGATGGGGAATAGGCTTTGTCGTGCCCTCTTCACGACTGTCTTGGTGTGTTTGGACCATGATAGTTCGTTGGTGATGTGGACACCAAGGAACTTGAAGCTCTCAACCTGTTCCACTACAGCCCCGTCGATGAGAACGGGGGCGTGCTCAGTTCTCTTTTTTTTCCCTGTAGTCCACAATCATCTCCTTTGTCTTGGTCACGTTGAGGGAGAGGTTGTTATCCTGGCCCCACACGGCCAAGTCTCTGACCTCCTCCCTATAGGCTGTGTCGTTGTTGTTGGTGATCAGGCCTACTACTGTTGTGTCGTCGGCAAACTTAATGATGTTGTTGGAGTCGTGTCTGGCCATGCAGTCATGGGTGAACAGGGAGTACAGGAGGGGACTGAGCACGCACCCCTGAGGGGCCCCCGTGTTGAGGATCAGCGTGTCAGAGGTGTTGTTACCTACCCTTACCACCTGGGGGCGGCTTGTCAGGAAGTCCAGGATCCAGTTGCAGAGGGAGGTGTTTAGTCCCAGGATCCTTAGCTTAGTGATGAGCTTTGAGGGCACAATGGTGTTGAACGCTGAGCTGTAGTCAATGAATAGCATTCTCACGTAGGTGTTCCTCTTGTCCAGGTGGGAAAGGGCAGTGTGGAGTGCAATAGAGATTGCATCATCTGTGGATATGTTGGGGTGGTATGCAAATTGGAGTGGGTCTAGCGTTTCTGGGATAATTGTGTTGATGTGAGCCATGACCAGCCTTTCAAAGCACTTCATGGCTACAGACGTCAGTGCTACGGGTCGGTAGTCATTTAGGCAGGTTCTTAGTGTCCTTGGGCACAGGGACTATGGTGGTCTGCTTGATACATGTTGGTATTACAGACTCAGTCAGGGACATGTTGAAAATGTCGGTGAAGACACTTGCCAGTTGGTCAGCACATGCTCGGAGTACACATCCTGGTAATCCGTCTGGCCCTGCGGCCTTGTGAATGTTGACCTGCTTAAAAGTCTTACTCACATCGGCTACGGAGAGTGTGATCATAAAGTCATCCGGAACAGCTGGTGCTCTCATGCATGCTTCAGTGTTGCTTGCTTCGAAGCGAGCATATAAGTGGTTTAGCTCGTCTGGTAGGCTTGTGTCACTGGGCAGCTCGCGGCTGTGCTTCCCTTTGTAGTCTGTAATAGTTTTCAAGCCCTGCCACATCTGACGAGCGTCAGAGCCGGTGTAGTACGATTCAATCTTAGTCCTGTATTGACTCTTTGCCTGTTTGATGGTTCGTCGGAGGGCATAGCAGGATTTCTTATAAGCGTCCGGGTTAGAGTCCCGCTCCTTGAATGCGGCAGCTCTACCCTTTAGCTCAGTGCGGATGTTGCCTGTAATCCATTGCTTCTGGTTGGGGTATGTACGTACGGTCACTGTGGGGACGACGTCATCGATGCACTTATTGATGAAGCCAGTGACTGATGTGGTGTACTCCTCAATGCTATCTGAAGAATCCCGGAACATGTTCCAGTCTGTGCTAGCAAAACAGTCCTATAGCTTAGCATCTGCGTCATCTGACCACTTTTTTATTAACCGAGTCACTGGTGCTTCCTGCTTTAGTTTTTGCTTATAAGCAGGAATCAGGAGGATAGAGTTATGGTCAGATTTGCCAAATGGAGGGTGAGGGAGAGCTTTGTATGCGTCTCTGTGTGTGGAGTAAAGGTGGTCTAGAGTTTTTTTTTCTCCTCTGGTTGCACATTTAACATGCTGGTAGAAATGAGGTAGAACAGATTTAAGTTTCCCTGCATTAAAGTCCCCGGCCACTAGGAGCGCTGCCTCTGGATGAGCATTATCCTGTTTAGTTATGGCCTTATACAGCTCATTGAGTGCAATCTTAATGCCAGCATTGGTTTGTGGTGGTAAATAGACAGCAATGAAAAATATAGATGAAAACTCTCTTGGTAAATAGTGTGGTCTACAGCTTATCATAAACTCTACCTCAGGCGAGCAAAACCTTGAGACTTCCTTAGTATTTGATTTTGTTCGCCAGCTGTTGTTTACAAATATACACAGACCGCCACCCCTTGTCTTACCGGAGTCAGTCGTTCTATCCTGCCGATGTAGCGTATAGCCCGCTAGCTGTATGTTGTCCATGTCGTCGTTCAGCCACGACTCGGTGAAACATAAGATATTACAGATTTTAATGTCCTGTTGGTAGGATAACCGTAATCTTAGGTCAACTAATTTATTTTCAAATGATTGAAGATTGGCTAATAGGATTGATGGAAGAGGCAGTTTACTTGCTTGCCGTGGGATCCTTACAAGGCACCCCGACCTACGTCCACGATATCTCCGTCTCTTTCTCCTGCGAATGACAGAGATTTGGGCTTGTCGGGTGTCTGTAGGATATCCTTCGCGTCCGATTCGTTGAAGAAAAATTATTTGTCCAATACGAGGTGGGTAATCGCTGTCCTGATATCCAGAAGCTCTTTTTGGTTATAAGAGACGATGGCAGAAACATTATGTACAGAATAAATTACAAATAATGCGAAAAAACACACATAATAGTACAATTGGTTAGAGGGCTGTAAAATAGTAGCCATCTTCTCCGGCGCCATCATTGGTTTGTGCTGTGTATTCACACTTTTACATTCTTACAACTCATGTCAATACCCTGTCATGTGGTTCTTTCCTTTTGTGCTTTGCCATGCTACAGTCACATTTATAACAATGTTCTGTACAGAAGAGGCTGGTGGGAAGAGCTATAAGAGGACGGGCTCATTGTAATGGCTGGAATAGAATCAATCCAGCCATTACAATGAGCCCGTCCTCCTATAGCTCCTCCCACCAGCCTCTTCTGGTTCTGTATCACAACATGTAAGGGATAATCAACGAGGGGCTATGCGTTCTATGGAAAATAATGAACGACGTGGACGGTGTGTTCCACAACGTGCTAGTGGAATGGAACTACCCTTCCACGGAGTTGCATTATTTTCCAGAGAACGCATAGAGCCTTGAGTTGATTATAACCCTTTCATACCATGGCTATATTTTAACAGATTTGCTGCTAGAAATGTGTTCAACATCCACTGAAGTGGAAAGCAAGTTTACTAGATAGCTACAGTAGTTGCCTTGGTAACCAAACAGACTTGCTAGTTTAGCTAACCAAACCATCAGGCCTATCTTGCTATTAGGAAAATCTAATTCAACAATGCCAATGTTTTTAATTAGAATTTTGCTTTCAAAAGCAGCTCAAACATAGATCACGTAAGAATGGTCCTCTGTAGCTCAGCTGGTAGAGCACGGCGCTTGTAACGCCAAGGTAGTGGGTTCGATCCCCGGGACCACCCATACACAAAAAAAATGTATGCACGCATGACTGTAAGTCGCTTTGGATAAAAGCGTCTGCTAAATGGCATATTATATTATAATGAACTATAGCCATTGAATTATACTGTGCATTCTAGGGAAATAATACACGCTCTAGAATGCCCTTCAAGCCAATCAGAAACTAGAATTCAACAATGCCATGGTATAAATGTTACTACTCCCTGCTCTATTCAACCACTCTCCAATAATCTAGCAACCAACACCTTACATCTGCTACAGTAACACCTCCCATACCACCACCTTGTTGTGAAGTGGGTATGTAGGTGTTCTCCTGCCTCTGTTGCTGACTTTTAACTCTGCTCCCTACCCTCTCTTCCCCTCAGGGTATCCACCGCCTGTACGAGGAGGGAGATGACGGAGAGGAGCAGGACGAAGGCATGGGGGAAGAAGGAGGGGAAGAGGAGGAGGATGAAGAGGACCGAGAGAGGGACAGCCTGAGTGACGGGACTCCGAACAAGGACTGCCCGCTCCCTGAGCGACGCTCCCGCCGCCTGAAGACCGAGGTCGGTGATGAGGTGATCACCGGAGACTGTTTTAAAATTGTATTTGATCACTTTCATTTTGATTTCACATGGTGATTTACAAAAAATTATCTGCATTTTTACTCCTGTTTTTTGCCTAACTTGTTTGGGGACTTAATGCACTGGAAATGCAATTGATGGATGGAGATACATTCTCAATAGCCAGAGAACCTTAGCCTTGCGTGTGCTGTGTCTGCCCAAAGTGCCCATAACATCAACAGAGATCTGCTCGTCACCCTGAGTCATGGGGTCGCATGGTTACTGTAATAGCATTATCTTTACCTCTTGTGTAATTCAGCACAGCCTATTTCTTATCACGAGTTCTGTAGGACGTTAGGTTGGCGGTTGTAGTTTTTATATGCTGCTAACTGAGATACTGTACCCAATACTGATCTAATGTATGGATATGCCTAGAGGTCAGTGTTTCCGTTAGGAAAATGTGGCGCCGGACATTTGACCAGCAGCATTTTAATTCGACTGACATTTGAGAAATTTACCGGACCCATATATATTGGGTGCGTAACCTGATTAGGGTGTTCACCCACGGTGCTCAGAATGACAGAAATCACATTTGGATTATGGTACTTCATATTAATAGAACACGATAGTCGAGGATGCAACGATGTGCGGTCCTTCTTACCGAATTTTGATTTGCACTTTGAAGATGTATAACTGTCCACGTTTACTTTTCCTCAGCCAACAAGACGAGTAACGAATAGCGAAATTACTAGCCTATGTCAATCTGCTATCCCCCATAGTAGAAAAGTTTAACTATTCTATTGGTCAGCTTGTCGAGAAAGAAATAGCCTATTCCAAACTGACTGGGACAGTTGTGGGACGATAGGCTACATAAAAAAACTTTAAAAAGCAGTTAGGTCAGAAAAGTTAGCTTAAAATGTTGATAAACTATTATTTCTTCACATTACGAACAATTATTTCTTCACATTATAAGCGCACAAGGCAGTAGGCTATGCGCGAATGTTTGTTATAATGCAATTTGCGGGAAAACACAGCTGTCAAAATTTAGAAATTGGGGAGATCTAATATGCAACAACTAGCTTGGGATGCTAATATGACTACGATTGTGCCGTTGGCTACTGGAAAATGAAAGAAAGTTGATATAAAATAATTGCCTTCATGGATATGATCAGATTTTGGCTAGGCTACATTTACATTTTACATTTAAGTCATTTAGCAGACGCTCTTGTCCAGAGCGACTTACAAATTGGTGCATTCAACTTAGGATAGCCAGTGGGACAACCACATCTTGATCACAGTAAGTACACTTATTCAAACAAGCAGCTGTGAGAAAGGTCAGTGCAATCAGAGACAACTACATCTCGATCACAATAAGTACATTTCTTTAAACAAGTCAGTGCTAGCAGGTGAAATAAGTCAGGTGTTAGTTTAGACAAAAGACAGTGGTAGTAAAGGGGTAGAAGGATTACTATTATACTATTCCAGGTATTCCTTAGAGGTAGGGTTTCAAGTGTCTCTGGAAGGTGGTCAGTGACTCCGCTGTCGTGGGGGAGCTTGTTCCACCATTGGGGTGCCTGAGCAGCAAATAGCTTTGACTGGGCTGAGCGGGAACTGTGCTATTCTCCCTTAAAATCTGCCGGCGGCAGTTTTATTTATCGGCTTAAAAAAAACAAAATCCGCCAGAAGCCGTCTATTACCGGTTAATAGAAACCCTGCTAGAGGTAGTCCAGAGTTAACTTACTGTATAGTACACTACTTTTGACCAGGGCCTGCATAGTGTTCTGGTCAAAAGTAGTGCACTATATAGGGGAAAAGGGTGACATTTTGTACTCATCCCAGGAATGTTCCCTGATGTTGTGTTGTATTATGTTTTTGTCTCCTCTCCTTCTAGCGGGAAAACAAAGAGCCCAAGACCCTGCAGATCTTTGGCAGTGGTCCCAAGGTGGTTGGGTTAGAGATTGTACCGGCTGGTAAGGAACTTCGCAAGTATTTATTTAACTTCACTTACTTAGAGCAGATGCAGAGCAGATGCTGCAACGACAAGTGGTCCTCTGTAGCTCTGCTGGTAGAGCACGGCGCTTGTAACGCCAGGGTAGTGGGTTCGATCCCCGGGACCACTCATACACAAAAAAAAATGTATGCACGCATGACTGTAAGTCGCTTTGGATAAAAGTGTCTGCTAAATGGCATATTATATTATAAGTAAATTTTCGTGATGTTAAGAGACTTTCAGTGTAAACAACTAAAACCAGATATAAAGTATGTAGGAAAGATAATGGCCCTATACAGTGCATTCGGAAAGTATTCAGACCCATTCACTTTTTCCACATTTCGTTACCTTCCAGCCTTACTCTAAAATGGATGAAATAAAATAAATAAAAATCCTCATCAATCTACAAACAATACCCCATAATGACAAAGCGAAAACAGGTTTTTAGACATTTTTGCTAATTTGTTAAAAGTTAAAAACAGATACATTTACACTTTAGTCATTTAGCAGACGCTCTTATCCAGAGCGACTTACAGTTAGTGAGTGCATACATTTTTCATACTGGCCCCCTGTGGGAATCGAACCCACAACCCTGGCGTTGCAAGTGCCATGCTCTACCAACTGAGCTACATGGGGCCCAAGATACCTTATTTACATAAGAACTATGCGGCGGAGGCAGCAGCGGAGTGAGGATACGAGGAAACAGTCAATTAAGGCAAGGGCTAAGAAAATTGAGGTGAGAGGAAACCCCAACTTAATTAGGCTTATAATCAATAGCCCAACTGTTAAACGTGCCTTGCTTTATAAATAATCCATATATATCTACAGAAATAAGACAGATCCTGCTTCTGTTGCCTGTTTGAGTGTTTGTTTAATAGCCTACTGATTCTGTGAGCACCAAGCCTCACGCAACCGCAAAATGTTGGATAAAGCAATTTCACAAATTCGGCAGTTTTTAATCTTTGTTATGCTGTAATAAAGGTGTTACAATTTTTAAAGTTAAAACAGACTCTCTGGTATTACTTAATTTATTGAGTGTTTACAGTGTTCCAAACGGGCAGAACAATTATATTGCAATCTAACAGCACCTGTTTGGCACGCAATACTCACGCAGCGCTTTGCCTATACCCTCCTTTTTCTTGATATCCAGTAGTTTCCACAACTAATTCAAATGTCTTCCACACACCTGACTTCCCCTTTCCCTCCTGAGCAACCAGTAAACATTCCCCATTTCGAGTTTATTTTTCACGTCCTCCGCATCCATTTTACTGTCACGTGTCACGGTGTTGGGAGTTTATAACCAATTTCTTGATGTGAATATGATAGGCTATAGGTCAGGCCCTATTGGTCACGTGGATGCAATGCATAAATTTTTCACGTAAAGAGAGCAAGGGTTGATGGAATTGGGAGGGAATGGTTTTCCTAAACAATTTAGGTAACACAACTTTTCAGTCAGAGAAAGAAGTAAGAAATGAAATGGCTGTACTTATGTTGCAGCTTCAGCACGGACAGCACGATGAACACTTGCTGTGCTGTAGTGCCTGCTCACTGCAGCAGGGAGGAGAGAGAAAATGTGTGCCAGACACACTTTTTTGTAACACAGCGTGGCCATCGGGCTCCCTCTTGAGTCGTTTGTGTCTTTTTAATTATTTCAACAGTGTGCTTAAAGCATCAGAGAAGCTCAGTGCATGTGAATTTCATTAGAACACATAGGGTATGGCTATACAGATAAAAATAAACATTTAAAAATGTCTACCAATTGGTTCGTTGAAAGAACAGACTACTCTCGGTCGACCAAGATTTTTCTATTATATCTAATCATGTTGAATACATGGGGCAATTATTTACATCTTGACATGCAGTAAAATATTAGTTTTTTAACAGTTCTACTTTTTCATCCCTCATTATCTTAATTACTATGGTACTCCCCTCACTGTGTTCATTGGCTGCACTAATTGAACTGTTTGTCTACATAACCTGGTTCAAGCATTTATCATGTAACCCTGAAAAAGGCACTGTGTGCCGAAACGTTGGTTGCTATACCCATTAAATGTTTTGGAGCATAATTACTGTGCAACGTTCTTTATGTATTTTCTGGGAAAATGCAAGTTGTGCAATGTTATTTCTCTCAGTCTCAGTATTGTAGCAATTCTGTTCTCTTGTGTTACATGAGAAGACGATGGGTTCAATAAGAAGCAGCGTCACCTGAAGGCCCAGGCCTTCGCCATTAAGATGCGACCACGCAAAGAAACCCTGGAGGTCAACTTTGTGAGTATCACCAGTTGACTTCCTCCTCTGTGTCTGTCTAATATTCTATAATAATCTCAACTTTGTAAGTATGAGTTGTTGTTTTCCACTTTTCTTCTCTGTCTGTGTTGTCTTGTTCAACTCACTCACTAGAGTGCATTGAACAAATGAACCACTAGTGGACAACAGCTCAAAACATGTTTTTAGTTTCATGGACCACTTTTGAATCATTTGACTAATTATTATTCTGTATTTCCTGTTCTAGATCCCCCAGATTGACCTGTACATGTGCCTGATGTGTGGGCGGGGCGACGAGGAAGACCGCCTCCTGCTGTGTGACGGCTGTGATGACAGCTATCACACCTTCTGTCTGATTCCGCCTCTACAGGATGTCCCCAAGGGGGACTGGCGATGCCCCAAGTGTGTCGCTGAGGTATGGAACTCTGATGACCCTGCCACTACCCAATCCGAAGCTGATTCCTCACTTGAGAAACACACGACAGCTAACTTGAATTTTCATGCCAATCATGCATTTATTCTATATCAATGGAAGATTTTTGCAGAAATTGTGAGTTATAATAATTTATTTATTGTGTCCCTTTCGGAAAATGTATCTTGCATCTCAAACAGCACAACATCACCTCATATAGTTCATAAATACGTACAACAATGTAAATCACAAGGAGTATTATAACAAGAAAAAACACGTGGACATACAGTTCGCACCTGCCTACCACGTGTTATAATTTTGCCTCCGTATGAATAGGTTATAGTGTTTGTCAAGCTGTGATGATATGGAAGTGTATGACTGATATACATAAATCATGTTGAGAAGGACTATGGGATAGGATGATGTTTTCTCACTGGATGTCTCCCTACAGGAGTGCAGTAAGCCGCGGGAGGCATTTGGCTTTGAGCAAGCCGTGAGGGAGTACACCCTCCAGAGCTTTGGAGAGATGGCTGACCACTTCAAGTCAGACTACTTCAACATGCCCGTGCACGTACGTATCAAAATCAAACGGTCACCTTGAGTTATAGGCAAGAATCTAAAGAAAACTATACTTTTGGAATGCATATGTTCAGGTTAGGTCTGTATCTCAAAATCAAGTCAGATGCAGTCAACTCACTTTCTTTGGGTGATATTTTCATCATTCATGCTGTTTGAAGTTGAACACCTACCCTTTCTCTCCCACTAATGCCCAATCACATCTAAACAATGCATGTGTGTGTATTCTCCTTTCGCTGCACCCCCAGATGGTGCCGACAGAGCTGGTGGAGAAGGAGTTCTGGCGTCTGGTGAGCTCCATCGAGGAGGATGTCATTGTGGAGTACGGAGCTGACATCAGCTCTAAGGAGGTGGGCAGCGGCTTCCCCATCAGGGATGGCAAGAGACGGCTCCTGGGAGACGAAGAGGTAACTATGTCCCAGTTGCTGCATAGTTACGAAGGACCCAGGCTCTTTCTCGATAGTCTTTCGCCACCTTTTCAAAACGCATTGGAGGACAAGATCCGTTGTTCCTACATTCGAACCTTCTCCGCTAATGCCTTTTATGGAGTAGAGAGAGGACACAATGAATCGTGGAAAGATTAATTGAGAAAGAGCCCCAGTATGAAATCCACACCCTTAACGGCTTGCGTTTATGTTACTTATGACCAATAAGTAACTTCCATCACCTCGGTCTTGTTCTTCTGTAGGAGTATGCCAACTCAGGCTGGAACCTGAACAACATGCCAGTCCTGGAGCAGTCGGTCCTTACCCACATAAACGTGGATATTTCTGGCATGAAGGTTCCCTGGCTCTATGTGGGCATGTGCTTCTCCTCCTTCTGCTGGCACATCGAGGACCACTGGAGCTACTCCATCAACTTCCTGCACTGGTAAAGTAACAAACATAAATGCCTTGTCCTAAATCAACCTCTTGCCCAAATATTTAGTAATACTGTATATTTTAGTCCAAAGGACAGAAATATATTGTCTTTCTAACACAGTCCTCAGTGGGAAGAGACAGACAAATGCACGTACAAAACAATGTAAACCGTATGCAATGGGTCGTAGAGACAATTGTACTCCCCATCTTCATTCGTCTGACTGGTTAACCTTCTCTCTCTGCCTGTCTCTCCAGGGGGGAGCCGAAGACGTGGTATGGTGTCCCAGCCCACGCGGCAGAGCAGCTGGAGTCAGTGATGAAGAAGCTGGCCCCAGAGTTGTTTGACTCTCAGCCTGACCTGCTGCACCAGCTTGTCACCATCATGAATCCCAACGTCCTAATGGAGCACGGCGTGCCCGTATGTATCAAGTGTTTCAGAGTAGGAGTGCTAATCTAGGAACAGTTTTGCCTGTTGGATCACAATTCATGCGTTTTATATGGACAGAAGGAGATCTGATCCTAGATCGGAACTCCGACTCTTGAGACGCTTGATACGTACGGCCCCTGGCCCCTTTTACGAGACCAAGTCTGCTTTGTGTACTTTACTGGTGTGTGTTTGTGCCACTCAGGTTTTCCGGACCAACCAGTGTGCAGGGGAGTTTGTGGTGACCTTTCCCAGAGCCTACCACAGTGGCTTCAATCAGGGATACAACTTTGCTGAGGCTGTCAACTTCTGTACCGCAGACTGGGTGAGACAAGTGTTTGTGTGTAAACAAATATTAACAGAATGTTGAATTGGAATTTTGAATGTTGGGAGTAGGTTTGGGCGGTATCAAGATTATCATTCCTTCATACCGACCTTGTGCTGTACCGGGATATTTGGAAATACCGGCACTGTTTTCAAACCCAACTGATACTCTGTAATCCGAAGGTTAGCAATGCTAACAAGTACATGTACAATCCCATAGTGAATGCTAACTAAATGCTAACGAGCATTTAGGTCTCTGACCTAAATAAGTAACTCAAAAATGCTACTTACAGTTTGCTGCATGCACAAAACAAATATTATACAGCAAGGCTTTTGATCCAGGAGGGGATTCTCTGCTGTTACCAAGTGAATGCTTGATTTTGGAAGAAGCTAACCACTTAGCTAACCAGCTACTAAATGACCAAACCAAATGTCAGAGCATTTAGCACATTTTAGACAGTTAACTTAGTTCTAAGATATCTAGCTGGCAAACATTTAGTTGTGAATTCCATACTGTAACTAGATCACCTGGCGCATGCTGCACAACAGTGAGTGACTCACAAGGCTGCGGTCTCGTAGTTCTGTGCTTGTAAACAAACACAATGTGACTGGGGACTAACGTTAAGCTTCATAATGAAAAATTATTTGACGGGTGAAATGTAAGAATGCAATCTTTATCTCCTAACGTATTGCACAAGTTGACTGCAGGTATTTACTTCAGTAGCTACAAATTGATAAAAAAAACATCAAAGAAATAGTTTCAACGCTATTGACGGTATTGGAAAACCATCCCGTGGCTATTTCCAAATAATCCAGGAATTCCGCCCAAGCCTAGTTGGGAGCTTAAAATAATTTCGGTAAGTCAAATATTTTATACCCTTCTTACTGTCCGCATTGCTGTCTTGGTGAATCAATCATCTTAGATATTCCCCTTCCAATGCTCTTTTTGCTTCCCCTTGATGTTTTGAGGAGGCGAGGAGAAAAGATCCAAGGAATCGATTAGACTTTAGACATTCTCTCTCTCTCTCTCTGTCTGTGTCTCTCTCTCTCTGTCTGTGTCTCTCTCTCTCTGTCTGTGTCTCTGTCTCTGTGTGTCCCCGTCCAGCTCCCGATGGGTCGTCAGTGTGTGGCCCACTACCGTCGCCTCCACCGCTACTGTGTCTTCTCCCACGAGGAGCTGCTGTGCAAGATGGCTGCCGACCCCGAGAGCCTGGACGTGGAGCTGGCTGCTGCAGTCTTCAGAGAGATGGGAGATATGATGGAGGAAGAGACACGGCTCAGACAGGCCGTGCAGGAGATGGTGAGGGACAGGGCCCAGGGGGATTTCCATATAAACAACTTTTTGCCACTTTAGGAAAACTTTACAGGAGGGCCAGGATAGAGGGTGAAGTAATGCAAGAGGGCAGGTATACAAGATGGCGTACTGAATACACAGCGGTAATGGAGAGCGATACAAAAAAACTAAAAGGGACAGTCACTAGGATGGAAACGGACCTTAAGGAACTTAAAAAGGAGAACAACTTTCTGAGAGAAGCCTTACTAGACATACAAACTAGATCAATGAGAGAAAATCTAGTACTTACGGGTATCCAGGAAAAATAGGGAGAGATTACAGAAAAAATTGTGAAGGGCTTCTTTCTTACAGCACTTAAAATTCCACTCGAGGCTGTCAAAATCCAACTCGAACGTGTACACCGTTTTGGACAAAGAGGACAGAGATATGAGCGTCCAATCGTTGCCAAATGTGCTTTTTTTAAGGATAAAGTAATGGTTAAAAGCCTAGGTAAAAGACTTGCCAACCCTATGTGTTCACAAAATAATCAAAGGTCTGACTGCACGGAAATGCTTGGGAAAAATGGTTACAACGGGGGACCAGAGTGTTTGTGTCTCAAGTGAAGAGGGTGGATCTGATCTCCATCACCTAGGACTTGACATAGATTCAATAGATTAATCAAATCTCACATTGTTGTCAATTTTTTGCTCAATCTTGCATGCTTTCTCAAACAACTGTAACTGTATATGCATTCGTAAATCAGGACCTTTCTTGAGTTGGGCTCTGGGATGTAACAACTGTTGAGCATCTGATTTTATGGTTGATTGTGGAGGAAAGGGGTTGAGTGTGTTAGAGTATGTGCCTGTGTTTATCCCACATATGTTGCAAGGGGGTAAGGATGTTAGGGAGAATATAGGATGAACCACAATAATTGTTTGCTAAAATAATAATTGCTTGACAAAAATGTAATGTAATACAATGGCAATCTGGGTTATAGGTTAAAATCCTATGCATTACCTGCTGAAATTATTACGCATATTAATTGATAATGATGGAAAATAAGATATGCAAGATATTTGAATAAAAAAATAGCTACATTTGAATTTTAAATAGCTACACACAGTGGGGAGAACAAGTATTTGATACACTGCTGATTTTGCAGGTTTTCCTACTTACAAAGCATGTAGAGGTCTGTCATTTTTATCATAGGTACACTTCAACTGTGAGAGACGGAATCTAAAACAAAAATCCAGAAAATCACATTGTATGCTTTTTAAGTAATTAATTTGCATTTTATTGCATGACATAAGTATTTGATACATCAGAAAAGCAGAACTTAATATTTGGTACAGAAACCTTTGTTTGCAATTACAGAGATCATACGTTTCCTGTAGGTCTTGACCAGGTTTGCACACACTGCAGCAGGGATTTTGGCCCACTCCTCCATACAGACCTTCTCCAGATCCTTCAGGTTTCGGGGCTGTCGCTGGGCAATACAGACTTTGAGCTCCCTCCAAAGATTTTCTATTGGGTTCAGGTCTGGAGACTGGCTAGGCTACTCCAGGACCTTGAGATGCTCCTTACGGAGCCACTCCTTAGTTGCCCTGGCTGTGTGTTTCGGGTCGTTGTCATGCTGGAAGACCCAGCCACGACCCATCTTTCAATGCTCTTACTGAGGGAAGGAGGTTGTTGGCCAAGATCTCGTGATACATAGCCCCATCCATCCTCCACTCAATACGGTGCAGTCGTCCTGTCCCCTTTGCAGAAAAGCATCCCCAAAGAATGATGTTTCCACCTCCATGCTTCACGGTTGGGATGGTGTTCTTGGGGTTGTACTCATCCTTCTTCTTCCTCCAAACACGGCGAGTGGAGTTTAGACCAAAAAGTTCAATTTCTGTCTCTTCAGACCACATGACCATCTCCCATTCCTCCTCTGGATCATCCAGATGGTCATTGGCAAACTTCAGACGGGCCTGGACATGCGCTGGCTTGAGCAGGGGGACCTTGCGTGCGCTGCAGGATTTGAATCCATGCCGGCGTAGTGTGTTACTAATGGTTTTCTTTGAGACTGTGGTCCCAGCTCTCTTCAGGTCATTGACCAGGTCCTGCTGTGTAGTTCTGGGCTGATCCCTCACCTTTCCCATGATCTGCTAAATGACTAAAATGTAAAATGTATCATTGATTCCCCACAAGGTGAGATCTTGCATGGAGCCCCAGACCGAGGGTGATTGACCGTCATCTTGAACTTCTTCCATTTTCTAATAATTGCGCCAACAGTTGTTGCCTTCTCACCAAGCTGCTTGCATATTGTCCTGTAGCCCATCACAGCCTTGTGCAGGTCTACAATTTTATCCATGATGTCCTTACACAGCTCTCTGGTCTTGGCCATTGTGGAGAGGTTAGAGTCTGTTTAATTGAGTGTGTGGACAGGTGTCTTTTATACAGGTAACGAGTTCAAACAGGTGCAGTTAATACAGGTAATGAGTGGAGAACAGGAGGGCTTCTTAAAGAAAAACTAACAGGTCTGTGAGAGCCGGAATTCTTACTGGTTGGTAGGTGATCAAATACTTATGTCATGCAATAAAATGCAAATTAATTACTTAAAAATGTGATTTCTGGATTTGTTTTAGATTCCGTCTCTCACAGTTGAAGTGTACCTATGATAAATATTACAGACCTCTACATGCTTTGTAAGTAGGAAGACCTGCAAAATCGGCAGTGTATCAAATACTTCTTCTCCCCACTGTATATATATTGAGGTGAGAGCATTGGAAATGAACTGCTTCTGTTTTGTGGGTGGCACTGTGTGCTGTTTTCAATGGATGGGTTAAGGCCTCTCGGGGCCCTAGGGATCCGGAGGGACGGGGGTGGTATGCCGATCACTGGGATGACGGCCCAACTTGGGATGGGGAGGGGGCTTTAGCGGGGGAATTAGTGGAGAACAATTGGAGGGTTACTTAGTAGAAATGCAAATATAATGGTACAGCTATATGGACACTCAATCACTATGGTATTTTTTATTGGTAAATTTACAAATATATATATATATATATATATATTGATAAATAGATTTGAAACTTGTATCTCATTATGGTATATGGTGAAATAAGTATAGCCAGTTATAAAAAAAGAATGGGGGGGGGGGAGAAATATACTTCTCCCATGGGCAAAGAAACTCAATAGGGGTGATGATATTAATTAACAGTAATTGCAAATTGTCCAAACAGATACGCAAGGTAGATGGATTATTTTAAATATGTTATTGGACCATAAACAGATATGGCTCATTAACCTTTACGGAGCAAATAATGATGATCCACACTTCTTTGACTATATATATATATATATAATAAATGATCAACCCTGCAAGCAATTCAAGACTATATTATTATGGTGGGAGATTATAATACTGTTTTAAATAGCTCAATGGACCGTAAAGGAAAGCGCACTACAAACAATCACCCACATGCTCTTAAGGAAATCGTGAATGTCATGGATACATTAGAACTAGTCGATATATGGAGGCTTAAATATCCGGATCTAGTGAGATATTCATGGCGGAGACTCAATCAAGCTAGTCGTCTTGACTTCTTTCTTATGTCATTCTCGTTGGCACCAAAAGTTTTAAAAGTGTTGATAGGGGACAGAATGCGGTTGGACCATCATATAATTGGCATATACATTACTCTTACTGAATTTCCACGTGGGCGAGGATATTGGAAATGTAATCAAAGCCTATTGGATGATAACTTGTTTTTAACTAGGACAGAGGAATTTATAACTGATTTTTTCCGACCATAACATAGGTACAGCAAATCCCCTTATTGTATGGGACTCCTTTAAATGTGCCTTTTAGAGGCCAAGCAATTCAGTACTCATCTCGAAAACAAAAGCAATTTATGTCAAGAGTCCATACTAACAAAGGAAATAGAAGGTCTAACAGAACAGATGGATAGCAATAAAAACTAACATAGAGGCTCAGAATAAATTAGAGAAATTTTAAAATAAATGGAGAAACTTATTCAAGAATGATCAAGTGTAATATATTATTAAAATAAAGCAAACTGGATGGAATATGGGGAAAAATGCACCAAATTATTTTTAAAAACTTCAACATAGGAATGCTACCAAAAAATAATTTACTGAAACAGGTTACAAATGATGGAGTCACCCATGATTCACCAAATTATATTTTGAAGGAGGAAACAAAGTACTTTAAGCATATGTTTTCGTTTCGGTCGCCTCCATCTCCACTAACTGAAGCTAATTGTAGAGATTTTTTTCTTCTATTGATAATGTAAAATTAACAGCCATACAGAAAGACTCGCGAAATGTCAGAGGTACTTCTGGATGCAATTAAAGACTTTAAGTCCGGGAAAACTCTAGGGTTGGATGGCATACCAGTCGAGGTATACCAAACCTTTTTTGAAATACTCAGAGGACCGTTATTAGCATGTTTTAACCACTCCTATGTAAATGGTAGATTATCAGACACTCAAGAAGGTCTGATTTTCATTATTACTGAAACAGGATACAAGTGGAAAATATAAAGATTCAGTCCATTAAAAAAATTGGAGGCCCCTTACACTTCAGTGTTGTGATGCAAAATGTATAGCGCATAGAATTAAAAAGGTATTGTCGGACATTATTTATTCTAATCAGACAGGTTTTTTACATGGACGATACATTGGAGATAATATAAGGCAAGTACTGCAAACAATAGAACACTATGAAAAAATCTGGAAAACCAGGCCTGTTATTCATAGCAGACTTTGAAATGGCATTTGATAAAGTACGACTGGGGTTTATATATAAATGCCTGGAGCATTTCAATTTTGGAGAATCTCTTATGAAATGGGTTAAAATCATGTATAGTAACCCTAGGTGTAAAATAGTAAATAATGGCTATTTCTCAGAAAGTTTTAAACTGTCAATAGGAGTGAAACAAGGTTGTCTACTATCGGCATATCTATTTATTATGGCCATCGAGATGTTAGCTATTAAAATCAGATCCAACAATAATATCAAGGGATTAGAAATCCAGGGCTTAAAAACAAAGGCGTCATTGTACGCTGATTCATGTTTTCTTTTAAATCCACAACTAGAATCCCTCCACAGCCTCATACATTTTCTAACCTCTCTGGATTACAATCAAATTATGATAAGTGTACTATATTACGTATAGGATTTCTAAAAAATTAAAATGTTACATTACCATGTAGTTTACCAATAAAATGGTCTGATGGTGATGTGGATATACTCGGAATACATATCCCAAATGAAATAAATGATCTCACTCCAATAAATTTGAATAGAAAGTTAGCAAAAATAGATAAGGTCTTGCTACCATGGAAAGGTGTATATACCTGTCTATTTGTGGAAAAATCACCCTGATAACTCTTTAGTATTATCCCAGTTTATCTATTTGCTTATGGTCTTGCCTATGCCTAGTGAACAGTTAAAAAAAAAAAAAATTCTATGAGAAAAAAATATTCCATTTTATTTGGAACGGCAAGGCAGACAAAATTAAACGGGCCTATTTATATAATGAAAATGATTAAATATTCAATTATTAAATATCACTAAAAGCTTCAGTCATACAAAAGTTATACATAAATCCGAACTGGTTCTCTAGCAAATTAGTAAGATTGTCTCACCCAATGTTCAAGAATGGCCTTTTTCCCTTTATTCAGATTACAACTCTCACTTTCAGTTATTTGAAAAGGATATCATCTCCCAAATATCACTATTTCTAAAACAAGCCGTAGAAAGTTGGTTGCAATTTCAATTTAATCCTCCAGAAACGACAGAACAAATAATGCAACAAATATTGTGGTTAAACTCAAATATACTAATTGATAAAACACTTTTTTTTTTGACAAAATGTTTTTTAAAAGGTATAATCTTCGTAAATGATATCATCGGTAGGACTGGTGGAGCTATGTCGCACATGCAGCTAACAAAAACACATGGAAATGTCTGCTCTACCCAAGATTACAACCAAATAATTGCAGCATTACCGCAAAAATGGAAGGGGGAAAGTGGAAGGGGGAAAAAGTAAGGAACCTGTCTGTCGGCCTTGCATTAAAGAACATAATTGGTTAAAGAAAATTGTGATAAATAAAAAAGTATACCAGTTTCATTTAAGGACCAAAGGATTGACAGCCGTCCCATATAGATTGCAAAATAGTTGAAGAGATTTTTGATGTACAGATCCCATGGCATAGTGTTTATGAACTGATACGCAAAACGACGCCGGATTCATAACTTAAAATTGTTCACTTTAAATTATTATATACAATTCTTGCTACCAATAGAATGTTATTTATATGGGGTATACAATCTTCCCAGCTCTGCAGATTTTGCTGCGAAGATAAATAATAATTAGATAATTTGTTTTGGGACTGTCCATTTGTAGCTTGTGTTTGGACACAGGTCCAGGAATGGCTGAAGGATTGCAATATTTACCTGGAGCTAACCCTGCAGATAGCATTACTGGGTGATCTGAAAAGTCATAATCAATAATATAATACTTTTAGCAAAAATGTTTATTTACAATCTGTAGAAACAATGAGAATAGAAAGGTTCAGAACTTTTGTAAAGCAGTACAGTTGAAAAATATATGGCAAATAGAAATCCAATATGGATGGTGTTAAGAGAAAGATGGGTGGTGTTGAAGGATGGGACTAATAACAACTAATAACAACAAGATAACTAATGTAAAGCATACTTTCCATAATAATTATAGGTTATAAGTTGAGAGCTTTTGTGAAAGAGCACAGTTAGAAAGATATGGCATATAGAAGCAAACCGGCTGACATCATGAAAATGATTGGAGAGGTTGAGGGTAGAGGAAGTTCAGGAGTAAAAACAAACAAAATAGAATTATTGTAAAATTGACTGTCTATAAAATGTATATTGTATGTATAAGCTGGAAGTAGAGGTCTAAGCATTGTTGTTCCCTAGTTTACTCCAATTAGGGAAGGGGTGGTGGGGTTGGAAAGTAATAAAGGGAAATATATTTTTTAAAAGGATATATAATTTGCGAGAAATCAACATATTGTGGATTGGAAGTGATGCAGACATTTACATTGATGGAAGTTACAATCTTATCTGCAATATTAAAGCTGATCTACCCCCTAAAAAAAAATAGAGGGGTTTACTTGGGAATACATTATGATGATGCATTATCAAACAATATGTTGACATCACATGATCCCAGAGATATGTTTCAAATTATTTCCTATCACACCAAAAGTGAATCACTGATGTAATTTCACATTCGTTCTCCCAGTCTAGTTGAAGTGGATCGTTTTCTGATTGCGATTTCCCTCCGTGTCTGCAGGGTGTGCTGTCCTCTGAGCAGGAGGTGTTTGAGCTGGTCCCTGATGACGAGCGGCAGTGTCAGAAGTGTAAGACCACCTGTTTCCTTTCAGCTCTGACTTGTCCCTGCAGCCCAGAGCGCCTAGTCTGTCTGCACCACGCCAAGGAGCTCTGTGACTGTCCCCTGGGAAACAAGTGTCTACGGTAAGGAGTACAGCTGGGTGATATGGACAGCAATCCATATGGAACGATAAGTTCATAACAATGTGCATCAGTTTTATTATCTTTATATTTATCCTTTAAACTACTACTAGTTTAATGGTTGTAGCTATCAATTGTCCTATTAACCATCACCCATATTAACACATTTATTTCATTTCCAACTTCACATATATCTAGTATAGGCTACTTATCGTAATGAACGATGATTGTTATGGTCAGTTACAAGTGTCTCCGGTGAGAAGGAATGGATGAATGAAGTAGAGGAGTTATGAACTCTGTACTGCTCAGAAGCCCCCATAAGAGCCCACTGATGAATGATAGTTGTTTTACCTGTGAATGCATCAGTGAGAACTTGGATGTAGTTTCACTGACCCAGAGTAAATCAAATCTCCATTGAAAGTTGCTTTAATCTGGGTCAATTTAACCCCGCATAGCAATCAATATTACCGTATTTTACGCACTATAAGGCGCACTTAAAAGCCTTTAATTTTCTCCAAAAATGACTGTGCGCCTTATAATCCGGAACGCCTTATATATGGATCAATTGGTTAATTGGTTGATCCATACTGGTTGTACACGGTGCTCAAGGCGCTCTGTCAAAATGTTTCAGTATGAAAAACCAGTAAAAACTATTTAATAATAATGAAATGTTTCACTACGACTTTGATATTCCCGTGAACCGCACTGTGGCGAAAACGGGGACCAGTACGGTGTCTGTACGCACCACAGGGAATGAGAAGTCATCCTTCACTGTAGTTCTCGCCTGCCAGGCTAATGGCCAGAAACTTCCACCCATGGTTATTTTCAAGAGGAAGACCTTGCCAAAAGAAAACTTTCCAGCCGGCGTCGTCATCAAAGCTAGCCCGAAGGGATGGATGGATGAGGAAAAGATGAGTGAGTGGCTGAGAGAAATTTACGTCAAGAGACCGGGTGGCTTTTTCCACACAGCTCCGTCCCTATTGATCTACGACTCCATGCGCGCCCATATCACCGATGCTGTCAAAAAAACAAGTGAAGCAAACTAATTCGGAGCTTGCCGTCATTCCGGGTGGATTAACTAAAGAACTCCAGCCACTAGATATTGGTGTCAACATGGCGTTCAAAGCTAGACTGCGAGCTGCGTGGGAGCAGTGGATGACAGAAGGCGAGCACATGTTCACCAAGACGGGGAGACAGCGCCGGGCGACTTACGCCACTATCTGCCAATGGATCGTGGATGCCTGGGCTGATATATCAGTCTCAACTGTGGTCCAAGCTTTCACGAAGGCAGGAATAATCTCTGAACTGCCAGGCAACAGCAGCGACACTGACTCGGATAATGACGAGAGGGAGCCGGGCAGGTTGGATGCCGTAGTCGCCCAACTGTTCAATTCGGACACTGAAGAAGAAGAATTCGAGGGATTCGTGGACGGGGAATGAACTGAAAAAGTGAGCTTTACGTGTTATACGTAACTGAACAATATTGAGTTATACACTAACGTTTGATTTAGTGGTATCAGACTGTTTCTTTTACTACGTGTTTACTGAATCAGGGAAAAGTTCCCCTCCACGTTTGGGAGAAGAGTGAGCAAGGCTGGGAGATATTGTTAATATGCACATTAACGTTTGAACAACGTTACCATGGGAGTGAACGGAGTTGTCAGAACGCTTAATAAAATTTGACTTTATCTGACTGTTTTGTTGACATTCCCTTTAGCACAGCTCCATCTAGTGGATGCATAACGCAACCCCAGTCAAACGTTTGACTGCAGTATCTTCTATTCTATGCGCCTTATAATCCGGTGCGCCCTATATATGAAAACAGTTCTAAAATAGGCCATTCATTGAAGGTGTGCCTTATAATCCGGTGCGCCTTATAGTGCGGAAAATACGGTAAATAGATGCTGACACTCCTGTCTCTTTGTATTCCAGCTACCGGTATGATCTGGAGGAGTTTCCCTCCATGCTGTATGGGGTGAAGTCCAGAGCCCAGTCCTATGACACCTGGGCCAAGCGGGTCACTGAGGCCTTGGCTGCTGACCACAAGAACAAGAAAGGTAGGAGGACTATCTGTACTGTAATGGCAGAAATACTCTGCACAATATTAGAACAATTGTACTACGATTCCCCTTGCCTCATGTGTCTCTCTCTCCTCTATTCTTCTATCTTTCTCTCCTGTCTGTCTGTGTCTATATCCCTCTCCCTTTGTCAGACCTGATAGAGTTGAAGGTTCTTCTGGAGGATGCAGAGGACAGGAAGTACCCAGAGAACAGTCTGTTCCGTCGGCTCAGAGAGATGGTGAAGGAGGCCGAAACCTGCTCCTCTGTGGCCCAGCTACTGCTCAGCCGCAAGCAGAGACACAGGTCAGTAGAGTACACACACACACACACACACACACACACACACTGCTATGTCACACTAAAGTTTTATGTCCCTGTTCTCTTCCCTTCTCCCAAATTGTGCACTTACACACTCTACACCAAGGAATTAAAAGCATTGGATTGGTGCAAGCGTTCTCCTTCATTGTTTTTACACCGTTGCATCTGTGAGGGAGAGTGTGCTAGTGCACACTTTGGGAGAAGGGTAGCAAATCGGGACATAACCTAAAGCACCATTTAACATTTATCCCCCTACCTGTGAGTAATAAATCAACTCAATGTATTTCTCTCTGTATTCCAGTACCAGGCAGCGTCCAGAGAGCAGCAGGACTCGTAACAAGCTGACAGTGGAGGAGCTGAAAGTCTTCGTAGAGCAGCTGTTCAAACTGCCCTGTGTCATCGGACAGGCTCGACAGGTCAAAGTAAGTCCCAACCTAATACAGTCACTGGCCATTCTAAACAGATGTACAGTAAATCTCCTCCTCTGACATCCTACTCTATTTGTATTACATCACTGAAGTTGACCTGTCCCCAAACCAGTATTTATTGATTAGTAGTCCTTGATTGTTAGTATATAACACCATATCCTTCATCCCTCTCTCCCTCCCTCTCCAGGAGTTACTAGAGAATGTGGAGGATTTCCATGAGAGAGCCCAGGTAGCCCTGGCTGACGAGCTGCCTGACTCCTCCAAGCTGCAGGCCCTGCTAGACCTGGGTGGAGGTCTGGATGTGGAACTACCTGAACTGCCCAGGCTCAAACAGGAGCTGCAGCAGGGCCGCTGGCTGGATGAGGTGATGACTGATGATATTATTGTACATTAGCGTAGTGTTTTACCTCATAGTTTGTGTGCTTTCTTAAGCAGTCTAAAAGTATTTATTCTGGGAGTGGAAAAATATTACATTGAAACGTTTTGTTATGATTAGGTGCGTGTGACGCTGGCAGAGCCCCACCGGGTGACCCTGGAGCTGATGAAGCGGCTGATAGACTCGGGGGTGGGGCTGGCACCACACCATGCTGTGGAGAAGGCCATGGCTGAGTTGCAGGAGATACTCACTGTGTCAGAAAGATGGGAGGACAAGGCCCGCGCATGCCTACAGGCCAGGTAATGATGAAGAGACACATTACACACCTATAGTACAGTTCTCTCATCTGCCTACAGGCCAGGTAAATGAGAATATGATAATGCAGTTCTTAAGTCACTTGCCTATAGCTTTGGTGTCATGCTTGGGTTGTGTTCAATGGGGTACACCTTCACAAAAATGTTCAGGTAGTACCTCCTGGTTTCACTCAGTTTCAAAACTTTTCTGAACGTGACCCAATTCCTGTTTAGCATATTGCATCAAAGGATGCCTGTAACTGTGAGATGAATGTCCCTTAATCCATTATTTATTGTCTCTCTCCTCCCCCAGGCCTCGGCACGGCATGCTAACCCTGGAGAGCATTGTGATAGAGGCCAGGAACATCCCGGCCTACCTGCCCAACATCCTGGCCCTCCGAGAGGCTCTGCACAAGGCCAAGGAGTGGAGCGCCAAGGTGGATGCCATTCAGGTAGTGTCGCGTCGCATGGTAATTACTGATGAGTATAGATTCAATTTGTGATATATATGGATGTAGCTACAGTATAGGCAGGCATCTCTCAATATTTGTCTGTGATGCGCTCGGCTCTGTTTTATGCGCAATGGAATGGCCTGGTCATTTTTTAGAAGCTTACATTAGCTAGGTTTCCATCAATTTGTCGAAAGATTTTCAAGCGGGGGCCTCCCGAGTGGCGCAACGGTCTAAGGCACTGCATCGAAGTGCTTGAGGCATCACTACAGCCTCGGGTTCAATCCCAGGCTGTGTCACAGCTGGCCGTGACCGGGAGACCCATGAGGTGGCACACAATTGGCCCAGCGTCGTCCGGGTTAGGGGGGGGTTTGGCTGGCCGGGATTTCCTTGTCGACGTGCCAAGGCAGAAGCTACTCTTCCTGGGGTCCAGCAGAATTAAGGCAGTTCATACAATTTTAAAAACATTACAATACATTCACAGATTTCACAACACACTGTGTGCCCTCAGGCCCCTACTCCACCACTACCACATATCTACAGTACATATAGTAAATCCATGTGTACGTGTGTGTATAGTGCGTATGTTATCGTGTGTATGCATGTGTCTGCGCCTATGTTTGTGTTGCTTCACAGTCCCCGCTGTTCCATAAGGTGTTTTTTAAATCAAATTTTACTACTTGCATCAGTTACTTGATGTGGAATAGAGTTCCATATAGTCATGGCTCTAGGTAGTACTGTGCGCTTCCCATAGTCTGTTCTGGACTTGGGTACTGTGAAGAGACCTCTGGTGGCATGTCTTGTGTGGTATGCATGGGTGATCGAGCTGTGCGCCAGTAGCTCAAACAGACAGCTCAGTGCACCCAACATGTCAATACCTCTCATAAACACAAGTAGTGATGAAGTCAATCTCTCCTCCACTTTGAGCCAGGAGAGATCGACATGCATATTATTAATATTAGCTCTCTGTGTACATCCAAGGGCAAGCCGTGCTGCCCTGTTCTGAGCCAATTGCAATTTTCCTAAGTCCTTTTTTGTGGCACCTGACCATACGACTAAACAGTAGTCCAGGTGTGACAAAACTAGAGCCTCTAGGACCTGCCTTGTTGATAGTGCTGTTAAGAAGGTAGAGCTGTGCTTTTATTATGGACATACTTCTCCCCATCTTAGCTACTGTTGTATCAATATGTTTTGACCATGAGAGTTTAAAATCCAGGGTTATTCCAAGCAGTTTAGTCACCTCAACTTGCTCAATTTCCACATTAATTATTACAAGATTTAATTGAGATTTAGGGTTTAGTGAATGATTTGTCCCAAATACAATGCTTTTAGTTTGATAAATATTTAGGACTCTTATTCCTTGCCACCCACTCTGAAACTAACTGCAACTCTTTGTTAGCTGACATGTATAGTGTTGAGTCATCCGCATACATAGACACTCCGGCTTTACTCAAAGCCAGTGGCATGTCATTAGTAAAGATTGAAAGATGTAATGGGCCTACACAGCTGCCCTGGGGAATTCCTGATTCTACCTGGATTATGTTGGAGAGGCTTCCATTAAAGAACACCGTCTGTGTTCTGTTAGACAGGTAACTGTATCCACAATATAGCAGGTGGAGTAAAACCATAACACATACTTTTTCCAGCAGCAGACTATGATCAATAATGTCAAAAGCCGCACTGAAGTCTAACAAAATGGGATGTGCTTTATGATGAGATTATGGATAAGAGCGAGATCATTTTTATTTATTGACAGCCAAGCACCGATCACCAGCATAAAATTAAGACCTTCAATATTTATTGGAGAGAAGCATCATACTCATAATCACTGTGCACTTTCCCCACCCTGTGAAGTTCATAATTTATTAAATGTATTTAATCTGTAGCCTAATAAACTGTGCAGTGTGCATGCTTTTCCAAGTCATAGTGGGAGGACCACACAACCATATTATCTTGTGTCTACAAGTTTACTGCGACATGATGGTTATACCATCAACAAATCCGCATCAAAGCGTTTCCACTGCATTTGTCGCATGATCTATTTCACCGACAAAACAAGTATCCTCTGTCTAGCATATTTTGTTCTGTCGACATTTGGAAAGTTTACAGGTATAAATACTTGCATATAAATAGTTGGTTATTGTTACCAGATAAGTTTGTAATTTTTCTTGTCGTCAGAACATGAATGATACATGTGAATGGGAAGGTTCATACTGTGCTATGCATTACGTGCTTTAATTTCTTTTGACAATGATGATTAATTTCCCTGTATTGATCCCCTGTGTGACTCACTCCCTCCAGAGTGGCAGTAACTATGCATACCTGGAGCAGCTGGAGAGCCTGCTGGCGAGGGGTCGCTCAATCCCCGTCCGGCTTGACCCCCTGCCACAGGTCGAATCGCAGGTGGCCTCGGCCCGCGCCTGGAGGGAGAGGACTGCACGTACCTTCCTCAAGAAGAACTCCACCTACACCCTGCTACAGGTAAGGCATAATACCCTGGGTTGGGCTGTACCTAGGCACTGAGAAATAATGGATGAGTATGTCGCTGAGAATAGTGGTTTGAAAGATTTTTTCCAACCAAGCAGCCCTTTTCAGGCTATGCTGACCCCAGAGTGCAATATGAGATATTTGCGTAAGCTATGTAGAATGGTGCAGAAGTTGGTGGACCACCATACGCAGATTGTTGTGAATTCCATCTGTCTAAACTGTAGGTAGTTGGGAATAGGACCAATATTATCATAGGACTAGTAGTTTGATAACATCTGTGCTAATCTCTATTCTCTGTGTGTTGTCTCTCTTAGGTCCTTAGTCCGCGTGTGGATATTGGTATCTACGGCAACAGCAAGAGCAAACGCAAACGAGTCAAGGAGCTCCTTGAGAAGGAGAGAGAAGGTCTGGACCTGGAGGGTCTCAGCGACCTGGACGAGAGTTACGAAGACGCCTGCGACCCGGCCACCGTCGTAGCAGCATTCAAATCCAAGGAGCAGAAAGAGGTTGAGGCCATCCACTCCCTCCGAGCCGCCAACCTGGCTAAGATGGCCATGGCTGACCGTATCGAGGAGGTCAAGTTCTGTCTGTGTCGTAAGACTGCCAGCGGGTTTATGCTGCAGTGTGAACTCTGCAAGGACTGGTTCCACGGAGCCTGCGTGCCGTTACCGAAAACGGGCTCCCAGAAGAAGCTCGTGGGCTCGGCCGGTTGGCAGAGCAACAGCAAGGAGGCCAAGTTCCTGTGCCCGTTGTGCCAGCGGTCGCGTCGGCCGCGTCTGGAGACCATCCTGTCTCTCCTGGTGTCCCTCCAGAAGCTGCCGGTGCGTCTGCCCGAGGGGGAGGCCCTACAGTGCCTGACGGAGAGGGCCATGGGCTGGCAGGTAGGGATGACTTCAAGTTTTCAGAATCAATTATTTGATGGTTGCTAGGCTTGATTAATCAAAGTTTGGTTTATAATCTGAGTTTTCCCTGCAAAACATAAGAAGTATATATATGTGCAAGGGTGAAAAGCCACGCATATGCTGAATCAAAACATAATCTTGTTTATTTAAATGCCTATGTTCGTCAATGGAATCGATTAATCTAATTCATCTCTACTTGCAGGACCGCGCCAGGCAGGCCCTGGCTACAGACGAGCTGTCCTCGGCCCTGGCCAAGCTGTCGGTGCTCAGTCAGAGGATGGTAGAACAGGCTGCCCGGGAGAAGACAGAGAAGATCATCAACGCTGAGCTGCAGAAGGCTGCCGCAAACCCAGACCTGCAGGTAAGAGATTAATGCTGCCGTATGGTACTCAGAGCCATGTATAGAGAGAGTTTGGAGGCGCTAACATGGCGTCCAGTGTAAAAGTTGGCCATTATCTCTCTTTATTGCTCTCATGATCAGTCATTCCTCTAAACAAGATGCTCAGGGATAAGGTAGGTCAAGAGACTGATGTTTTTTTAATGTCCTCTCCTTCTCTTCCTTCTTGTTTGTTCAGTGCATTAGAGAGCGAAAAACAGAGAGATTGGTTCCACAGTAGTGATATTACTACTGATGAGAAGTAACAGAATGACTGTGGACTTCTGTTCTCTCCGTAGGGTCACATCCAGACGTTCCAGCAGGCAGGGTTCAGCAGGGCAGCGTCGCCACGCCAGTCTGTCGACTACGATGACGAGGAGACGGACTCAGACGAGGACATCAGGGAAACCTATGGCTACGACATGAAGGTACTGTGGTGTGGCCTATGGAGAGTTTTCTCAAACATCAGTTTTTTTAAATATCAAAAATACCTGTTGAATCAATTAAAATAAAACCAAAAACTACTGTATAGCTGCTAGTTTTCTATAGGCAATGTTTTAGCAGGAGTAACAAAGCCAGTAAAACATTACTATTCAATTTATCTCATGCAAAGACACAGCACTTAGCAAATCCTGCTTTTCTAGCACTGTGTCCTCACCTGCCCCACTTTCTCTCGCTGTCTCTGTGTGTGTGTGTGTCAGGACCCAGGTGAGGTGAAGCCGTACCTGTTTTGTGATGAGGAGATCCCTGTCAAGTCAGAGGAAGTAGTCAGTCACATGTGGCCCACCACACCCTCCTTCTGCGCTGAACACGCCTACTCCTCTGCCTCCAAGTCCTGCCCGCAGAGTAAGACATGGCATGTAATCTATGGCTACGCAAACTCTGTCTCCCTGTTATACTTAAAAATAGTAACTTATAAATGTGTCATCCATTCAATGTTCTGGAGTATTGTTTTATTTTCCTTATGTGAATTGTCTTTGGGACCTTATTTAGAAACGAGAATGTCAAGGTACAGAAAGCTATACATGTAAATGTAGGTATTGAGAAGGTAAATGTGTGTTTCATTGGTTGATTGATGAATCCTTCTCTCCCTCTACCCTCCAGACCAGGGCACCCCCAGGAAGCAGCCCAGAAAGACCCCACTGGTGCCCCGCTCCCTGGAGCCCCCTGTGCTGGAGCTGTCCCCCCCGGCCAAGGCCCAGCTGGAGGAGCTGATGATGGTGGGGGACCTGCTTGAGGTGTCCCTGGACGAGACCCAGCACATCTGGAGGATCCTGGAGGCCACACACCCTCCCTCTGAGGAGAGGTTCCTACAGGTCATGGAGGTAGGAGAGAGGCACTGGTGTGTATACACTTATACTGAACAAAAATATAAACGCAACATGTAAAGTGACAGGTGTGGCATATCAAGAAGCTGATTTAAAAAGCATGATCATTACGCAGGTTTGGACACACCTACTCATTCAAGGGTTTTGCTGGGGACAATAAAAGGCCACTCTAATGTGCAGTTTTGTCACACAACACAATGCCACAGATGTCTCAAGTTTTGAGGGAGCGTGCTATTGGCATGCTGACTGAAGGACTGTCCACCAGACCTGTTGCCAGAGAATTTAAAGGTTCTTTACCACAACCACACAACCGAAGAATTTCTACACAAACTGTCTCAGGGAAGCTCATCTGCGGGCTCGTCGTCCTCACCAGGGTCTTGACCTGACTGCAGTTCGGCGGCATAACCGACTTCAGTGGGCAAATGCTCACCTTCGATTGCCACTGGCATGCTGGAGAAGTGTGCTCTTCACGGATGAATCCCGGTTTCAACTGTACGGGGCAGATGGCAGACAGCGTGTATGGTGTCGTGTGGGCGAGCAGTTTGCTAATGTCAACATTGTGAACAGAGTGACCCATAGTGGCGGTAGGATTATGGTATGAGCAGGCATAAGCAACGGACAATGAACACAATTGCATTTTATCGATGGCAATTTGAATGCACAGAGATACCGTGACAAGATCCTTAGGCCCAATGTCGTGCCATTTATCCGCCACATCACCTCATGTATCAGCATGATAATGCATGGCCCCATGTTGCAAAGATCTGTACACAAATCCTGGAAGCTGAAAATGTCCCAGTTCTTCCATGGCCTGCATACTCACCAGACATGTCACCCATTGAGCATGTTTGGAATGTTCTGGATCGACGTGTACGACTGCGCTTACAGTTCCCGGCAATATCCAGCAACTTTGCACAGCCATTGAAGAGGAGTGGGACAAAATTCCACAGGCCACAATAAACCGCCTGATCAACACTATGCGAAGGAGATGTGTCACGCTGCAAGCATGAGGCAAATGGTGGTCACACCAGATAATGACTGGTTTTCTGATCCACGCCCCCTACCTTTAAAAAATATATATATCTGTGACCAACAGATGCATATCTATATTCCAGTCATGTGAAATCCATAGATTAGGGCCTAATGAATTTATTTTAATTGACTGATTTCCTAATGAACTGTAACTCAGTAAAATCTTTGAAAATGTTGCGTTTTATATTTTTGTTTAGTGTATGTTCTTTTATTTAACCAGGTTGACCCATTGAGGTCAAGGTAGACCTGGCCAAGAGGGCAGCGCCAGTAAAGAAAACACAGTCACTGGCTGAAAACACGTATGTCAGAATCTGAACTGAACATGGGTGATACTAAGGCTGGTTTACTGGAACCTGGTTAAGTTTACTTAATGGACTTAATCTCTACTGAAAGTGCTTTTATTAATTGAGCAATTTTGTCCATCCCTCTTTCCTGTCTTCCCTTCCCAGCATGACGATTCTCAGTTTGAGAAGCCGATGAAGATCAAGATGAAGGACTCTGAGAAGAAGAGGAAGAGGAAGCTGGAGAGGGCGGAGCACCAGCTTCTCATGACAGCCGTCTCCGGGGTCGGAGACATGATGCGGTCCCCCAAGTCCTCAAAGGATCAGAAACGGAGCCTCTTAGACCCGCTGGGGAAACCCAAGAAGAAGAAGCTGAAGCTGAACCCGGATAAGAACCGTGAACTGAAACAGCTGGCCAAGCGCCTGGCTAAAGCGGAGAAGGAGAGGAAGAGGAAGGAGAAAGCTGTGGTCAAGGCTGAGGCTGTCAGGGAGGGGATGGAGAAGAGTAAAGAGAAGAAGATCCTGGATATACCGTCGAAATACGACTGGTCCGGAGCTGAGGACTCCAATGATGAAAACGCAGTCTGTGCGTCCAGTAACTGTATGAGACCCTGCAAGGACAAGGTGAGAGCAACACGAGAAGCATATACACAGCTGTGTGTGTGTGTATTGTCCCAAATCAACCCCTATCTCCAGTATACACTACTTGATGCACATTTCAAAATAACTGGAGGGGTGTAATGGTCAGAACACCTAGGTGGGGCTATTATTGTGTCTATGGGTACAACCTCAGCCTAGGGATTCTGTCCTGGTATTCAAATGTCCCATCCAGACCAACTGACTGAGACCATTCATTTGCCTGCAGAGGGCAGTGCATCTTCTGTAGTTGTCGTCAGACCTTGAATATAGCCTAAGGAGCATTTTTGGACATGGGGCTCATTTGAGAGAGGATGTAGCGACTCAAAATCGATCTGACAGATGATTTATAGGTGTGAGTGTTTATTGGTTAACAGGGTGCAGCAGAGGTCAGTGTGTGGCCTGAGAGGGCGTGCCCTATCAGAAACACAAGTCTGTTTTTGACCCAAGTACAAGTAGAGATGCATAGGCAAAATGTCAAATTCAGTCAATGGAATAGAACCTACTCCTAAGTGTCCTTACCAAGAAGAAGGTCCTATTTTAAGAAATTGTATAATTCTATAAATACACAGAACCAGTCAAAAGTTTGGACACACCTACTCATTCAAGGGTTTTTCTTTATTTTTTAGAATAATAGTGAAGACATCAAAACTATGAAATAACACATATGGAATCATGTAGTAACCAAAAAAGTGTTAAACAGATCAAAATATATTTATATTTGAGAGCCACCCTTTGCCTTGATTACAACTTTGCACACTCTTGGCATTCTCTCAACCAGCTTCATGAGGTAGTCACCTGGAATCCATTTCAATTAACAGGTGTGCCTTCTTAAAAGTTAATTTGTGGAATTTCTTTCCTTAATGCGTTTGAGCCAATCAGTTGTGACAAGGTAGGGGGGGTATACAGAAGATAGCCCTATTTGGTAAAAGACCAAGTCCAAATTATGGCAAGAACAGCTCTAATAAGCAAAGAGAAACGACAGTCCATCATTACATTAAGACATGAAGGTCAGTCAATACCGAACATTTCAAGAACTTTTAAAGTTTCTTCAAGTGCAGTCACAAACACCATAAAGCGCTATGATGAAACTGGCTCTCATGAGGACCTCCACAGGAATGGAAGACCCAGAGTTACCTCTGCTGCAGACGATAAGTTCATTAGAGTTAACTGCACCTCAGAAATTGCAGCCCAAATAAATGCTTCACAGAGTTCAAGTAACAGACACATCTCAACATCAATTGTTCAGAGGAGACTGTGAATCAGGACTTCATGGTCGAATTGCTGCAAAGAAACCACTACTAAAGGACACCAATAATAAGAAGAAACTTGCTTGGGCCAAGAAACACGAGCAGTAGACATTAGACCGGTGGAAATTTGTCCTTTGGTGTGGAGTCCAAGTTGGAGATTTTTGGTTCTGACCGCCGTGTCTTTGTGAGACACTGTGTGGGTGAACGGATGATCTCTGCATGTGTATTTCCCACTGTGAAGCATGGATGAGGAGGAGGTGTTATGGTGTGGGAGTGCTTTGCTGGTGACACTGTCTGTGATTTATTTAGAATTCAAGACACACTTAACCAGCATGGCTACCACATCATTCTACAGCGATACGCCATCCCATCTGGTTTGGGCTTAGTGGGACTATCATTTGTTTTTCAACAGGACAATGACCCAACACACCTCCAGGCTATTTTACCAAGAAGGAGAGTGATGGAGTGCTGCATCAGATGACCTGGCCTCCACAATCAACTGACCTCAACCAAATTGAGATGGTTTGGGATGAGTCGGACCGCAGAATGAAGGAAAAGCAGCCAACAAGTGCTCAGCATATGTGGGAACTCCTTCAAGACGGTTGGAAAAGCATTCCAGGTGAATCTGGTTGAGAGAATACCAACAGTGTGCAAAGCCGTCATCCCGGCAAAGTGTGTCTATTTGAAGAATCTGAAATATAAAATATATTTTGATTTGTTTAACACTTTTTCTTGGTTACTACATGATACCATATGTGTTATTTCATAGTTTTGATGTCTTCACTATTATTATTATTATACAATGTAGAAAATAGTAAAAATAAAGAAAAACCCTTGAATGAGTAGGTGTTCTAAAACTTTTCACTGGTAGTGTAGTTTGTATATAATTTCTTAAACTATATCTATTACATTAAGATCAACATTTCATTCTACCGTTCACCCATAATTTTGGGAAACACTGACTGTTTTTACAAATACATCATTGGACATTTATGCGAATAAGATGTTTCATTTTTAAGTCTTCCACAGCAATCTCCTCTCTTAGTATATCACAATCACGTTTACAAACTGTCTTACAAAGTTTGAATACTTTCCTTTAGGAGGTTAAATGATATTAGCTCTATTCAGAGCAAAAACTGAATGTCTCACTTTGTATTTTTGTTTGCTGACTATGATGCAGAGCTAAGTATGCCGAGTTAATATTGGGCACTGTGACGCAAACCTCTTTGGAAGTGAGCATCATGAAATAATTTAATATCAACAGTTAGTAACAGCACTGGAACACCTTAAAGAGAGTTACATATAACGTATTATGTGCTGTTGGATGACTGTAAATTAGTCAGTAAGTCAATGAGTAGCCTAACCACCCTCCCAGTCCTACCCATCCATGTGCTCTCAGAGCACATCAGAGGCATGGTGATATCCTCCAGCTTAACAGAACTTGAAGGCGGACTGTATTGTATTATGCTTAAATGCACCATAATAAAATGCAACATAATTATCATGCTTATTATACATACTTCATGTACATAATGCTATATTCCTTTTAAAAACGTAAATCATCTACAAGTATAACGCTTGTGAATCTGAGCACTAGCTGATGATATTATGTCCTGATTTAAGCAGAATGTGTGTATGTCTCCCTTCCCTTTGTCAGGTGGACTGGGTTCAGTGCGATGGCGGCTGTGACGAGTGGTTCCACCAGGTGTGTGTGGGTGTGACCTGCGAGATGGCTGAGAACGAGGACTACATCTGCATCGACTGCAACCGCAAGTCAGCCATCTTGAGTGGGGGCGTAGTTGGAAGTGTGGGCAGAGGCATGGGCATAGGAGGAGGAGGGGTTACAGCAGTGGTGAAGGTGGAGCGTGTTTGTGAGGAGCCGGTGGTGCTGGACGCGCCAGTTTGCAGTGGGCTGAGCCAGATCATTATGCCCCCCTCTATAATGATGCCCCCCTCCCAGACCCAAATGATGCAGCAACAGAAGCAGCCAGAGACTCAGGAGAGCAGCTAGCGCAGACCCAGGACAGAGACCACATGCACACACACATCCACCCGGGAAGCTCGCATCAGACCATTTGAGTCTGGATGACCCTGACCTGTTCAGACCGACAGATTTCCCTCCTCTTGACTTACTGGGTAGAGGGGCTTCAAATTAAGGGGTATCCTCAAGACTGGATGATGATACTCCCATGAGAATAATGCTACAAAGAAACGAGACCTTCAGCTAAAAGCTTGTGGTCCTGTTTGAGGAGAGCGATGTATTTTCTGCATCACAGACTAAAACTCCAGATTACCTTTTTTCCCACTCTCCCTCTCCTCTTCTCTCATGGGAACCAATTGTTGATGAGGATTTGTTTTTCTCTAATTCAGAACTGTTAAAGAAGGCCTTATAATGCAGAGCACACTGTGTGCACAGAGTATCAAAGCGGTTTTTACTGCACAACTAGGAATGACCATGGGCCGTTTTGTGTGTTTCTTGAGTTTGAGTTTCGGGTCTGTAACGTCCTCTACCCCCCCCCCCCCCCCCCCCTCTGATAATTATTTGGAGCCAATCTGCCTCAGTCCTACTACAGTCAGAAACTTCAATACAGTCATCATGAATCTGTGAAGGTGTAACATTGCGTCACAAATGGCACCCTATTCCCTATGTAGTGCATTACATGGGCTCTGGTAAAAAGGAGTGCACTATAAAGGGAATAGGTTGCCATTTGTGACGCAGTGTTACACCTTCACAGATTCATGATGACTGTACTGAGGTGGCAGATAGCCTAGCTGTTAAGAGCGTTGGGCCAGTAACCGAAAAGTCTCTGGTTCGAACCCCCTACCTGACTAGGTGAAACATTTATTGACGTGCCCTTGAGCAAGGTACTTAACCCTAATTTCTCCTGTAAGTCGATCTGGATAAGCGCGTCTGCTAAATGACAAAAATGTAAACATTCGGGATGCACATTCAGTGTCCTCTCATCTCTGCCTGGCCCCAAACAATAAATAACAGCTCCATGTAGGACTAGGAACAATGGTTGTATGTAGTGATACGTATTTATAATGTGTTTGAAGCAATTAAGTGATTGGATGTGGCTGTTTTTTGTTTTCTCACCTTTAATAAACAATTCCTAGTCAAATGAGTAAGGAGCAGCATTTGTTGTTTTATTTTCAATACCATTATAAACAATTTCCTGTTTGAGATGATTTGATATGTCAATGCCAATGTCTTACATCAGATGTCTAAACTCCCAACTACCTTTTAGATAGATTAGAGTTTTGGGTGGGTCATCAGATGGCCTTACTGTTTTAGGAGCCGTGGGTTCTAAATGTGGGATCTATGGATTCAGGCCTGTCTGTCACAACTACTTCTGGTAGTCATTAAACCCATTACGAGAGCTCCATAGTATCGAGCAGCATCTCCCTGGCCGCACGTGGCTTCCCGTGTTTTTTACATGTTTTTTCGTCTCACGCCCAATCCCAGATTAACCTGGAGTTGTCAAAGGAGAAGGAAAGGTTCATTAAGAGTAAAAAAATCTATTATTGGCAGTCAGTTGACTGTTGTACACAATATGAAATCAATTTTCTTGAAACAATGCAACAATACTATGAACTTGTTACAATTTCTGTTTCTGCCCTCATTCATTGTTTTGGCTTGGTGAGAAGTCTAATCATGCAAATATCTAATCGCAGGATTTAAATTCACATTAGTATTCTATATGTACCTGTGAAGGGGAAAGCAGTAAAGGTGCGTTAATTGTATGTAATGTGATTGTGAACACCTCTGCTTCATTTATGTAGGGGAAACCACCAACCAGTGGAAGCAAAGCCAAGTAAAATCCAGTCCTGACCGCCGCTGCTTCCTCAGGTCCATTTGACCCACTCACCTCTTAAAGAGACAAAAGCTAACCAGCGAGAGAAACTGCAAACACGAGACAGGACATAGGTGATCGCAGTTGGACACTGGATCATTAACCAAAACAAATTGTATAATTTATCTTTGGTTGTTCATTTGTTGGCATGTCAATATTCACTAAATGGACCCGTTTGCCTTGTATATTAATATAAGTGGGAGTACCTAAGTGGGGAGGGGTGTGGTCATATGGGCAGAGAGTGGATTGGAGGCTGAGCCTAAATTTAGGATTACAACATCCCACCCCCTATTCGCCCCTCATGTTAAATACTAAAATGTGAACAGTACAGATCAATATTCACTGACAGAGAGCCAACCCTGAGACTTGAGACACCCCAACCAATGAATGGTACGTACTTGACTAATTTTTGAATTCTAAGACATTGTTGTAGAACATGGTACATCATGTCTTTCTAAGGCTTTTTGATTTTGTTTCAAATAAGTTGTAAGATGACTTCAGCTCTGGGCATATTTTAATGATGTGAGATCTAAGGTTTAGTGTGGAATCATCCTGGGCTATTTCCCCAGATTTCAATGTAAAATATTTGTAAAGAACTAATCAATTCTGTATGCATGCTGTCTGAGGGCTGTTGCCACTCCCACCCATTCATGATGCAACATGTTAATCAATTTAAGGTAGGCCTGAACTTGATTGTGTAAATCTCTGCCTGTTTTTGAGTACATTAATTAAGGTCTTCAGATGGCATTTTAAGAGAGCCACAACCTTTTTTTGAGGAGTCATTAGACAAAAGATAATATTGCGCGGTATCAATGTGCGGTATCAATGTACTTGACATGTACTTACATGTTACCCTGAAATCTAGAACCTGTTTTGCTAACTTTCCACTCCTCGGCAAACATGACATGGAGTGGAATAATAACGCGAACAGACGGGTACCCAGGCTGCTTACATGTTACTTTACTTTTAAAATAAATACATGTGTATATGCATTACGTAATGCATCACTACATGTAGCTACTTGACTTGAAAACAGCCAAACTCATTCTGTTTTTATTGCTTGAAATAGTTAAAGCAGGCCTCTCAAATGGCAAGAACAGCAGCAGGCTGAAGGACCTGGTCCCTGTCCCTCAGCCCCAGTCAGAGGAGAAGATGCAGGAGAGGGGCCAATGGAGCAACAAACTGGAGTTCATCCTGTCTGTGATGGGATCCATCATCGGCCTGGGGAACATGTGGCGCTTTCCTTACCTCTGTTACAAGAACGGAGGAGGTGAGTTCTAAAGGATGAGCCCAGAGGAGGTCACAGACATTTAATTTTGAGTCACAAAGGCAAGCATGTATTGATGTGTTTTGACAGGTCAATATTTTAAATACGGATTTGTTCTTAATTGAAAATAATAGTTTGCAAATGATTTTCTTGACTTATTCATTTTAGCTCCTAGTGGAGCAAAGAGCCTCAACTGTGCATCTCCACCGACCGATTGCAAATGGCTATTTCAATTTCAGTTTCAATTTCAGAGGCCTAGCTATAAAAACAGTGTTGGGTGTAATTGGGACTCCGGCCTATTTAGATCAGGCCATGGGTTTAGGGAAATGCTTATGTAGGTGGTGCTACATCAGACATTTCTCTCTGTGGGGTGTATGGGATCAGAGGTTAGGGGTCAGAGAATGTCACAGCTGTTGTTTCCCCTCTGTCCTAAATAGCCTGTGGTCAAGCAGTTGCCCCTGCAGCGTTTGCCATGTTCCGGAAATCCATCCATCCAAGCACTCTAAACATCTTCAGATCGGCTGACGTCAAAAGTCGACAGACTGCGTCATTAACTCAGCTTGAAAATAAAATATGTTGACATTGATTGAGATTAATCACAGACTGAAATTGTAATCATTGAAACCCTATGGATGAAACACCTTATTATAGTGTCTACAAGAGGTAATTCATTCCTTGACAATCCTAGCCTTGTGGCATGGGGCATTATCTTGCTGAAAAAATCAATTTGCAGATGGATACACTGTTGCCATGAAGGGATGCACCTAAATGGCAATGATGTTCAGATATCCTGTGGCATTTAAATGTTGCGGCACTTTTATCAAGGGACCCAATGTGTGCCATGAAAACACACCCCACACCATCAATGTTGATACGCGGCATGATGGATGCATGTACTCGTGGTTTTCTCCATACTCTAGTCCTCCCATCAGTGTGAAATGGCAGGAACGGGGATTAATCAGACCAGGCAATGCTTTTACAATTCTCCAGTATCCAGTGTTTTCGTTCTTTAGCCCACTGGAACCACAGTTTCTTGTTTTTTTGCTGAAAGAAGTGGAACTCTGTAATGTCGTCAGCTGCCATACCCCATTCGTGTCAAGGTACGATGAGTTGTGCATTCTTTTATGGGTCTTTGGGCACCACTGTTGTACTTGACTGTCAGTTGACTAACTGTAGCCCGTCTGTTACTCTGCACAATTCGTGTCAGCCTCCTTTTGTTCTCTTTCATCAATGTCCCGTTTTCGACCACTGGCCTGCCATTGGCTGGATGTCCTTTGGGTGGTGGACCATTCTTGATACACACAGGAAACCCAGCAGCGTTGCAGTTCTTGACACACTCAAACCGGGGTGCCTGGCACCTACTATCATACCCCGTTCAAAGGCACTTGAATCTTTTGTCTTGCTCATTCACCCTCTGAATGGCACACACACAATCCATGTCTCAATTGTCTTGAGGCTTAAAAATCCTTCTTTAACCTGTCTCCTCCCTTTCATCTACACTGATTTGAAATGGATTTAACAGGTGACATCAATAAGGGATCATAGCTTTTACCTGGATTCACCTGGTCAGTCTGTCATGGAAAGAGCAGGTGTTCCTAATGTTTTTTGTACACTCATTGTATATTCTTTGTATGACTCTCTCCATTTCCCGTCCCCCAGGTGCATTTCTCATCCCCTACCTGATCTTCCTGTTCACCTGTGGCATACCTGTGTTCTTCCTGGAGACTGCTCTGGGCCAGTACACCAGCGAGGGAGGCATCACCTGCTGGAGGAAGATCAGTCCACTGTTTGAGGGTAACCTGCTCTTTCTTATGGGAGTATATCTTCCTTTTAGGCATTATACTGTAAATAAAGTTATGCCATACAATAAGGGTTTGCGTCCGAGCTTTTTACACTTTTTCATGTATCACTATTCTATGTACTATGCAATAAACAATATGTACTTATATTGTAATTACATAGTTACTAACATGTTTTTACCTGGTTTTAGTGACACTTACTACAAAGTGGGACTTTTGATTTACTTTCTATTCATTCCTCCCTGTCCTTGCTCCAGGTCTTGGCTATGGCACCCAGATCATCGTGGCTCTGCTGAACTCCTACTACATCGTGGTCCTGGCGTGGGGAATCTTCTACCTGTCTTTCTCCTTCTCCTGGGAACTCCCTTGGTCCTCCTGCAACAACACCTGGAATACAAGTGAGACAACAATAATAATGGAAAGGTTAACTATGTTTTAAAGTGGCTTTGCTGTATGGAGCGATATTACAAATAAAAAAAGATTTGAATTCCAATAAAATGTATGTTGGCACTCCATATTACTGCTTTAACACTAGTCGGTGATTATGGTGGTAATGATGCAAAATGTACTTTTTTTTTATCTAAGAAAATTGCGTGGAGTTTCAGAGGAGGAACTATTCTGTCAACTACACCCTGCCTGAAAACTCCACATCCCCCGTCATTGAATTCTGGGAGTAAGTATTCAAAGCAATTACATTGTTGGAAGTTACAATCTATCTGCAATATTAAAGCTGATCTACTCCAAAAAAAATTATATAATTTTTTAAAAATAAAACGCACCTCTCTTTGTTATTCAACACATCTCCATTGAAATAAGATTTTTGTCCAGGACTACGCTTAATCTGTGTCCGGGAAACCGGACCCTGAAGTCTTAAAGCTTTTATGATATTTTAACCTTATTTGGAGTAGCTGAGGGTCCTTAAAATCGGAATATCTAAACTAGAATTGTTACTGCACTTCGTCCATTGTGATTTCGTTCTGACCCCCTGTGTTATGTGTTTATTCAGGAGAAGAGCCTTGAGGCTGTCGTCCGGCATCGACCACATGGGCTCTCTGAACTGGGACCTGGCCCTCTGTCTGGCCATCGCCTGGGTCATGTGTTACTTCTGCATCTGGAAAGGGGTCAAATCCACTGGGAAGGTGGGCTTGTTTCTTTCAATTCTTCCTGTCTTCGTTTGCTTCACCAGGGTCATGTTCATTAGGCATTAACCCCTTACACTCATGGGAATTGGCCTATATTGATAGGGCTAAATTGAAATGTTTCTTACTGAAGAAATATGAAAAGTATATGCATAACCATGGTAGCAATCAAAAGGGAACAGTTTGGGGATTATGGGAAAATTATTAGACTAAAGCTGATAACAAAACAGTTAATCTGACACGAGACTGAATCCAAACATTACACTGTTGATTTTATGTGCATTTACTGTACTTTTCGCCACATTTGTTGATAACGAAATATGAAAATACTCTGGATACATACAGTAACATAAGAATATTCATGGTGATTTGGGGTAGGTGCAACAAAAAAAATACAAGGTTTTGAGTGATAGGTCTAACTGGTGTCTCCAAGTGGCCACACAACTCTCCAAAGTGTGCACAGTTCCTATGTAATTGCAATACACTTTTATGACTCAAAGAAGAGTTTTCTACTATAAGGTGCTTTTTTGAGCTCACCTTGCTGTGCCGTTGAGGAACTAGATCAAGCAGACTTGTAGTTTTCTTTGGAACTCTCGTGTGGCTCAGTTGGTAGAGCATGGCACTTGACGTTGGTGGCACCTTAATTGGGGAGGACGGGCTCGTGGTAATGGCTGGAGTGGAATCAGTGGAATGATATCAAACACATGGTTTCCATGTGTTTAATGCCATTCCATTTGCTCCGTTCTGGCCATTTATTATGAGCTGTCCTCCCCTCAGCAGCCTCCTGTGGCACCAGGGTTGTGGGTTCTATTCCCACGGGGGACCAGTACAAACAAATATGAAAATGTTTGCACTCACTACTGTAAGTCGCTCTATATAAGAGTGTCTGCTCAATGACTAAAATGTAATGTGAAATGAACACAGCCCTGCATCCCCGCCTTTTACACAATTACTGTTGTTTACGCATTCCAAAAATTGTCCATTATAAATCGCAATCTGGTCAGGTGGGCGTCATTTGAAAGAGTGTCTATTGCCAACATGGCTAGCTAAGTAACAGATCAGGGTCATGTTCATCTTACAAGGCAATTCGAAGAAGCAGATTGTAATTTTCGTGTGCATAGAATAGAATGACGAGTGCATTCAAATGCGTGTTCCCCTTCACATTTCTTCACCATGTGACAAACCAGCTCATTCTGTTCAGAACAACCCATGGTAAGACGCCATATTGTCTTGTAACTGTACATCAAGCATAGTGATCATAAACGTTAACAATGTATATTACATGGGTTTTATGATATGGAAATGTGAAGTGCACATTTGGACTAATGGGTGATTGGCTTGCTTGTATGACATCAAAGCGGTATTTATTCTAATCTCTAACGTCTCATCTTTCGAAATACGTCGAGTCCTCTTAATTTACAGCATTTCCCTCAGACAACAAAAAAAAAAAATTCTCACTCAGACAACAAAAAAGTTGCAAAAGTTGCCCAACTAGTAGGAGGGATGGGGCAACTTCTTGTCCCGCGTGGTTTTGAACCGCTTTCAGTCAAAACCAATACTGGGCTGTAAAGCGGAGACCTTGAGCTCTGACGTAATGTATAGCATGTTACTGTACAGCCACTGCGTTCCAATTTAGGCGCTTATCAGTGTCCAAATCTTCTATTTTGAACCTGTATACGGGTACGAGTGTAAAGAGTTACACAGAAGAAGCAGGGTGAAACAAAGAGGGACTACCTGGACTTGTTCAATAAGAAACACTAATTTCTTCCAATGAATAAAATAAAACGTGTTTTCCCTTAATGAACATGAGCCTGATCTGTTGGATCACCGAACTTTTCAATATGATTCCATCCAATCTATAGGTGGTGTACTTCACAGCTACCTTCCCCTACCTGATGCTGATAGTTCTGCTGATTCGAGGAGTCACTTTACCTGGAGCGGACCTAGGGATCAAGTTCTACCTATACCCTGACCTGTCAAGACTAGCAGACCCTCAGGTATGTACCACAACAACAATAATAACCCCTGGCCCATGCTGTTACATAATAGAAACCCTGTTGACTGAACCACACACTCACACTCGCATCAGGTAGCTTATTGTTGTGGAAGCAATGGTATGCCTGGCTGAAATTACATTTTATACTCAGAATAGCAAACAAACAGTCTACTTTCAGCATTTTACGGTGACGTGACTATCAGAACATAATTATGTTTGGGACTGGCATGATTTCAAATAAATTCTCTGTAATAGTTATCTCAATATTACCCAAAGTCTTCCCAGACTGGGGAATTTGAAGTTCCTTAGGTGAAGGTCCTCCAGGTGTGGGTGTAGATATCCCAGGGTTCCCTGCTAGCTGGAATGCTATTTTTTGCTCAGTCCATCTGTGTTCCATGAAAAAGTCTGTAGCAGGCTGTGAGTGGTGGGGTTGCACGGAGGGGCAGGACACTGCAGTGAAGGTAAACACTGACCTCCAGGACCCTCCGGCTGCTAGACTCCCCCTCAGAGTCTCAGGGCTCAGCCCTCAACTGGCTTAGCCTGGTCTGGACCAAAGCCCGGTCTTTTCAGGTTCAGCATCAAAGTGCTGTTCTCCACATGGTGGGCTGGGAAATTTGGGAATTGGAACTCACTGGTGGGCCGCAACATGGCTGATGCCATAGATTTAGAGTTTGGCAAACTCAGTACCAAAACCAATTGTGTTTGTCTGCAGGGGGGTTTGAACCAGTGGGATTGATGGCATTGACACCACAGCTTTCGCCTGCCCTTTCTCGAAACCCACCCATCCACACCCTAGCGGGGGGCAGATATTTTGATTGCATCATCATCCCAGGGCCTTTTGTTGCCCCCAATCTCACCTCAGATCTTCAATGTCTGGTTGGTGATTGAGAGGTGGGGATCGTTAATCAATGTTTAGACCACAAGACGTTTAACTGACTGGTTGACAATTCACCTCTGCAGTGTCACTGGTCCACTGATTAGGTGAACTCATTAGGGACAGAGAGGAAGAGAAAGGAAAAACAAGCATGTGATGTGGTACTCCACATGAGGCTGCTCTTTAAGTCTCACATTCTCAAAACACACATGACTAGAGGTGTGTTTTATTTATCCACGTGCATCGTGTGTTGTACGTTTTCAAGCATTTGGGACAGATGTAAACATTTTTTTAAATAAATGTTGGCCCACAGTCAGGAAACCTGCCAAAACAAAAACAGGTGACTCTCGATTACTTTTTAAAAGGAGGTTTGTATTTATTCATGAGCTTAGGCATGATCCAATAGCATCCCTAGATGACACACCTTTGTATTTATTAGTCCATTTTCTTCTACAGTAGTTGCTTGACTGTCCTCTGTTTGTGTACCCCCCACCTCTCTCTGTATGACAGGTATGGATGGATGCAGGCACCCAGATCTTCTTCTCCTATGCCATCTGTCTAGGCTCCCTCATAGCATTGGGGAGTTACAACAAGTACAACAACAACTGCTACAAGTACGCTAAAGATGCATTAAACACACTTACCAAACATGCAATCACTCACACACACTGTTAATTAAGCTTCTGTTAATTAAACTCTCCTTAAATCTTCATATTTTTGGTGTCTTGTATTGCAGAGACTGCCTGGCCCTGTGCTTCCTGAACAGTGGGACAAGCTTTGTGGCAGGCTTTGCCATTTTCTCCATCCTGGGTTTCATGGCTTATGAACAGGATGTCCCCATCTCAGAGGTAGCAGAGTCTGGTGAGTGTGTGTGTGTGTGTGTTAACTTCAATAATTTGTTCAAATGCAAGTATAATGTTATTTCGCTTTTTATTTCGCTATTATATATGATTCCCTGTTTTCTCTTCATTAGGTCCTGGTCTGGCCTTCATTGCGTACCCTCGTGCTGTGGCTATGATGCCGTTTTCTTCACTATGGGCCATCTTCTTCTTTATCATGATCATCCTGCTAGGGTTGGACAGTCAAGTAAGGCCTCTTAAGTAATTTACAATGTTTATGAACATACTGTCAAGCAAATGGACCCGGTTAAGGATAGAATGGACCATTTCTGTACAACGGGAACTGAGAGGAGATCCGAGAGCATCACTATGTAACCAAACATTCCTAGCCTAACATGATATCAAAGATGCTCACTATTTATGTTACCAAACATGCCTATAACTGAGATTTGTTAAAATACCTCTCCCTTTCTCTCCAGTTTGTGTGTGTAGAGAGCTTGACAACGGCCATGGTGGACATGTACCCCGAGGTGTTCCGTCGTAAGAACCGCAGGGAGCTCTTTCTGGCTTTAGTGGCCTTCATCTCCTTCCTCATGGGCCTGGTCATGCTGATGGAGGTAGGCATCACATTTGGAATTAACCCTCATGGGTTAGTTAGGGGGACAAACCTGCCTGGGGACTGGGTTGGGGATAAACCCTCAAGGGCTATTTCATTGTGTTCTTTAGCTGTAATATGCAGACAGACATAAAGTCTAACTTACCAGGTGGCTGGTCGAGATCTCATTCAAAGTAAACAAAAAATATCTATATTTAGATTTGATTTATTAGCTAGGACATTTTCATTTTGTGGATAGAAACCACTTCAGAGTGGCTAACAACCTTGTTACTGTGGTTCAGGACAGCGTAACACATTCATTTATACACTACATGACCAAAAGTATGTGGACACCAGGGGCCTCCCGAGTGGTGCAACGGTCTAAGGCACTGCATCGCAGTGTTGAGGCGTCACTACTGCCTGGGGGTTCGATCCCAGGCTGTGTCACAGCCGGCCTTGACCGGATGTCCCATAGGGCGGCGCACAATTGACCCAGCGTTGTCCTGGTTAGGGGAGGGTTTGGCCAGGGGGGATTTCCTTGGCTCATTGCACTCTAATGACTCCTGTGTGGTGGGCCTGGCGCCTGCAAGCTGACTTTGATCGTCTGTTGAGCGGTGTTTCATCCGACACATTGGTGCGGCTGGCTTCCGGGTTAAGCGAGCCGATGTTAAGAATCAGCGCAGCTTGGCAGGTCATGTTTCGGAGGACGCATGACTCTACCTTCGCCTCTCCCGAGCCCGTTGGGGAGTTGCAGCGTTGAGACAAGATCGTAACTACCAATTGGATATCACGAAATTGGGGAGAAAAAGGGGGTAAATAAAACAACAGAAAAGTATGTGGACACCTTCTCGTCGAACATCTCATTCCAAAATCATGGGCATTAATATGGAGTTGGTCCCCCCTTTGCTGCTATAACAGCCTCCAATCATCTGGGTAGGCTTTCCACTAGATGGTGGAACATTACTGCGGGGACTTGCTTCCATTCAGCCACAAGAGCATTACTGAGGTCGGGCACTGATGTTGGGGGATTAGGCCTGGTTTGCCTTCGTCGTTCCAATTCATCCCAAAGGTGTTTGATGGGGTTGAGGTCAGGGCTCTGTGCAGGCCAGGCAAGTTCTTCCACACCGATCTCGACAAACCATTTCTGTATGGACCTCACTTTGTGCACAGGGGGCATTGTCATGCTGAAACAGGAAAGGGCCTTCCTCAAACTGTTGCCACAAAGTTGGAAGGCAGAATCGTCTAGAATGTCATTGTATGTTATAGTGTTAAGATTTCCCTTCACTCGAACCATGAAAAACAGCCTCAGACCATTATGCCTCCTCCACCAAACTTTACAGTTGACACTATGCATTGGGAGCAGGTAGCGTTCTCCTGGCATCGGCCAAACCCAGATTCGTCCGTCGGACTGCCAGATGGTGAAGCGTGATTCATCATTCCAGAGAACTTGTTTCCACTGCTCCAGAGTCCAATGGCGGCGAGCTTTACACCACTCCAGCCGACACTTGGCATTGCGCTTGGTGAACTTAGGCTTGTGTGCGGCTGTTCAGCCATGGAAACCCATTTCATGAAGCTCCCGACAAACAGTTATTGTGCTGACATTGTTTCCAGAGGCAGTTTGGAATTCGGTAGTGAGTGTTGCAACCGAGGACAGACGATTTTTACGCGCTACGCACTTCAGCATTCGGCAGTCCTGTTCTGTCAGCTTGTGTGGCCTACCACTTCGCAGCTGAGCCGTTATTGCTCCTAGACATTTCCACTTCACAATAACAGCACTTACAGTTGATCGGGGCATCTCTAGCAGGGCAGAAATTTGATGAACTAACTTGTTGGAAAGGTGGCATCTCATGACTGTGCCATGTTGAAAGTCACTGAGCTCTTTAGTAAGGCCATTCCACTGCCAATGTTTGTCTATGGAGATTGCATGGTCGTGTGCTTGATTTTATACACCTGTCAGCAATGGGTGTGGCTGAAATAGTCCCCTGTATCTCAGTTGGTAGAGCATGGAGCATGGCGCTTGTAACGCCAGGGTTGTGGGTTCGTTTCCCACAGGGGGCCAGTATGAAAATGTATGCACTCACTAACTGAAAGTCGCTCTGGATAAGAGCATCTGCTAAAATGTAAATTGTAAATAGCCGAATAATTTTGTATATAGAGTGTACAGTGGGGAGAAGAAGTATTTGATACACTGCCGATTTTGCAGGTTTTCCTACTTACAAAGCATGTAGAGGTCTGTAAAAATCCAGAAAATCACATTCTATGATTTTTAAGTAATTAATTAGCATTTTATTGCATGATATAAGTATTTGGTACAGAAACCTTTGTTTGCAATTACAGAGATCATACGTTTCCTGTAGGTCTTGACCAGGTTTGCACACACTGCAGCAGGGATTTTGGCCCACTCCTCCATACAGACCTTCTCCAGATCCTTCAGGTTTCGGGGCTGTGGCTGGGCAATACGGACTTTCAGCTCCCTCCAAAGATTTTCTATTGGGTTCAGGTCTGGAGACTGGCTAGGCCACTCCAGGACCTTGAGATGCTTCTTACGGAGCCACTCCTTAGTTGCCCTGGCTGTGTGTTTCGGGTCGTTGTCATGCTGGAAGACCCAGCCACGACCCATCTTCAATGCTCTTACTGAGGGAAGGAGGTTGTTGGCCAAGATCTCGCGATACACGGCCCCATCCATCCTCCCCTCAATACGGTGCAGTCGTCCTGTCCCCTTTGCAGAAAAGCATCCCCAAAGAATGATGTTTCCACCTCCATGCTTCACGGTTGGGATGGTGTTCTTGGGGTTGTACTCATCCTTCTTCTTCCTCCAAACACGGCGAGTGGAGTTTAGACCAAAAAGCTCTATTTTTGTCTCATCAGACCACATGACCTTCTCCCATTCCTCCTCTGGATCATCCAGATGGTCATTGGCAAACTTCAGACGGGCCTGGACATGCGCTGGCTTGAGCAGGGGGACCTTGCGTGCGCTGCAGGATTTTAATCCATGACGGCGTAGTGTGTTACTAATGGTTTTCTTTGAGACTGTGTTCCCAGCTCTCTTCAGGTCATTGACCAGGTCCTGCTGTGTAGTTCTGGGCTGATCCCTCACCTTCCTCATGATCATTGATGCCCCACGAGGTGAGATCTTGCATGGAGCCCCAGACCGAGGGTGATTGACCGTCATCTTGAACTTCTTCCATTTTCTAATAATTGCGCCAACAGTTGTTGCCTTCTCACCAAGCTGCTTGCCTATTGTCCTTTAGCCCATCCCAGCCTTGTGCAGGTCTACAATTTTATCCCTGATGTCCTTACACAGCTCTCTGGTCTTGGCCATTGTGGAGAGGTTGGAGTCTGTTTGATTGAATGTTTGGACAGGTGTCTTTTATACAGGTAACGAGTTCAAACAGGTGCAGTTAATACAGGTAATGAGTGGAGAACAGGAGGGCTTCTTAAAGAAAAACTAACAGGTCTGTGAGAGCCGGAAATCTTACTGGTTGGTAGGTGATCAAATACTTATGTCATGCAATAAAATGCAAATGAATTACTTAAAAATCATACATTGTGATTTTCTGGATTTTAGTTTTAGATTCCGTCTCTCACAGTTAGTGTACCTATGATAAAAATTACAGACCTCTACATGCTTTGTAAGTAGGAAAACCTGAAATCGGCAGTGTATCAAATACTTGTTCTCCCCACTGTATGTATGCCAGGTGGGTTGTCACTGCAGGCTTTTGAGTTGTTTTCTTGTCTCTCTTCAGGGTGGGATGTATGTGTTCCAGCTGATGGACTACTATGCTGCTAGTGGCATGTGTCTTCTCTTCATGGCCATCTTTGAGACGGTCTCCATCGCATGGGTCTATGGTAAGTTAGAATCCAATAAAATAATAACCTGATGGAACCTTCAAAAGATCTTTACACCATATCAATCCCCCAAAGACAGAACTGTCATTGGTTTAATCTGGAGTTTATGCCAGAGTACAGTGCATTCGGAAAGTATTCAGACCACTTCACCTTTTCCACAAAAACTGTTTTTTTGAAATGTTTGTTAATTTATAAAAAATAAAATAAATAAATACCTTATTTACATAAGTATTCAGACCCTTTGCTATGAGACTAGAAATTGAGCTCAGGTGCATCCTGTTTCCATTGATAATCCTTGAGATGTTTCTGCAACTTGATTGGAGTCCACCTGTGGTAAATTCAATTGAGTGGGCATGATTTGGAAAGGCACACACCTGTCTATATACAGTCCCACAGTTGACAGTGTATGTAAGAACAAAAACCAAGCCATGAGGTCGAAGGAATTGTCCGTAGAGCTCCGAGACAGGATTGTGTCGGAGCACAGATCTGGGGATGGGTACCAAAAAATATCTGCAGCGTCACGTCTGGAGGAAAACTGGCACCATCCCTACGGTGAAGCATGGTGGTGGCAGCATCATGCTGTGGAGATGTTTTTCAGCGGCAGGGACTGGAAGACCAGTCAGGATCGAAGGAAAGATGAACGGAGCAAAGTACAGAGAGATCCTTGATGAAAACCTGCTCCAGGAAAACCTGCTCAGGACCTCAGACTGGGGCGAAGGTTCACTTTCCAACAGGAAAACAACCCTAAGCACACAGCCAAGACAATGCAGGAGTGGCTTCGGGACAAGTCTCTGAATTTCTGTGAGTGGCCCAGTCAGAGCCCGGACTTGAATCCGATCTAACATCACTGGAGAGACCTGAAAATAGCTGTGCAGCGACGCTCCCCATCCAACCTGACAGAGCTTGAGAGGATCTGCAGAGAAGAATGGGAGAAACTCCCCAAATACAGGTATGCCAAGCTTGTAGCATCATACCCAAGAAGACCAGAGGCTGTAATAGCTGGCAAAGGTGCTTCAACAAAGTACTGAGTAAAGGGCCTGAATACTTATGTAAATGTGATATTTATGTTTTTTTATTTTATAATTTACAAAACATTTGACAAACCTGTTTTTGCTTTGTCATTATAGGGTATTGTGTGTAGATTGATGAGAGAGAGAGAAAAAAAGTGTAATCCATTTTAGAAGAAGGCTGTAACGTAACAAAATGTGAAAGTCAAGGGGTCTGAATACTTTCCAAATGCGCTGTATATTCCTGACCTTTGATAGTACTGTTCAGAGACTGCTTCATAGTCCCAATTGTTGACATTTATGTCCACAGCTCTTGTTATGACCAAACCCAGCATGGTTAGCCTGTCTCTCTGTTGTATGTTGTTCCAGGTGTCGACCGCTTCTATGATAACATTGAAGACATGATTGGCTACCGTCCAGGACCTTACATTAAATACTGCTGGCTGTATGTCACCCCAGCCACATGCATTGTGAGTGACCTACAAATCCATTTAAACTCTCGTATACAGTATAAAATGCAATTCGTTAGGGAAAATATTTGTTTCCTGACCAGGAAAAATCTGTGCCCTAGACAGATCACATGATCTGGAAAAACTCCAGTTACAGTTGTAAACATTGACGGCCCCAGTCAAGGCCCACTGCTAAATTGACTGCAAATACTTTTGTTTTCTCTAGGCCACCTTTGCATTCTCCCTCATCAAGTACACCCCTCTGAAGTACAACAATGAGTATGTGTACCCCTGGTGGGGCTATGTGATAGGCTGGCTCCTGGCTCTTGCCTCCATGGTCTGCATCCCTCTCTGGATTATCTACAAACTCGCCACCACAGAAGGAACACTCAGAGAGGTGAATTTAGGTTCCTTTGCTTACTGAACATTTCCTCTTGATACAACTACCAATTGGATATCACGAAATTGGGGAGAAAAGGGGGGTACATCTCATTCCAGAATCATGGGCATTAATATGGAGTTGGTCCCCCCTTTGCTGCTTTAACAGCCTCCACTATTCTGGGAAGGCTTTCCAATAGACGTTGGAACATTGCTGCGGGGACTTGCTTCCATTCAGCCACAAGAGCATTAGTGAGATTGGGCAATTAGGCCTGGCTCCCAGTTGGCGTTCCAATTCATTCCAAAGGTGTTCGATGGGGTTGAGGTCAGGGCTCTGTGCAGGCCAGTCAAGTTCTTCCACACAGATCTCGACAAACCATTTCTGTATGGACCTTGTTTTGTGCGTGGGGGCATTGTATAGCACTTTCTGTATAGCACTTTGTGGGGCTTTATAAATACATTTGATTGATTGTCTTGCTGAAACAGGAAAGGGCCTTCCCCAAACTGTTGCCACAAAGTTGGAAGCACAGAATGTATGCTGTAGTGTGAAGATTTCCCTTCACTGGAAATAAGGGGCCTAGCCCGAACCATGAAAAACAGCACCAGACCATTATTCCTCCTCCACCAAACTTTACAGTTGGCACTATACATTGGGGAAGGTAGCGTTCTCCTGGCATCCGCCAAACCCAGATTCGTCCGTCGGACTGCCAGATGATGAAGCATGATTCATCCCTCCAGAGAACGCATTTCCACTGCTCCAGAGTCCAATGGCGGTGAGCTTTACACCACTCCAGCCAATGCTTGTGTGCGGCTGCTCTGCCATAGAAACCATTTCATGAAGCTGCTAACAAACAGTTCTTGTGCTGACGTTGCTTCCAGAGGCAGTTTGGAACTCGGTAGTGAGTGTTGCAACCGAGGACAGACGCTTCAGCACTCGGCGGTCCCGTTCTGTGAGCTTGTGTTGCCTACCACTTCGCGGCTGAGCCGTTGTTGCTCCAGCGTGTACAGTTGACCGGGGCAGCTCGAACTGACTTGGTGCCACGCTGAAAGTCGTGGAGCTCTTCAGTAATGCCATTCTACTGGCAATGTTTGTGTATGGAGATTGCATGGGTGTGGCTGAAATAGCTGAATCCAATAATTTGAAGTGGTGTCCACATACTTTTGTGTGTGTGTGTATGTATGTATGTATGTATGTACAGTGGGGAGAACAAGTATTTGATACACTGCCGATTTTGCAGGTTTTCCTACTTACAAAGCATGTAGAGGTCTGTAATTTTTATCATAGGTACACTTCAACTGTGAGAGACGGAATCTAAAACAAAAATCCAGAAAATCACATTGTATGATTTTAAAGTAATTAATTAGCATTTTATTGCATGACATAAGTATTTGATACATCAGAAAAGCAGAACTTAATATTTGGTACAGAAACCTTTGTTTGCAATTACAGAGATCATACGTTTCCTGTAGGTCTTGACCAGGTTTGCACACACTGCAGCAGGGATTTTGGCCCACTCCTCCATACAGACCTTCTCCAGATCCTTCAGGTTTCGGGGCTGTGGCTGGGCAATACGGACTTTCAGCTCCCTCCAAAGATTTTATATTGGGTTCAGGTCTGGAGACTGGCTAGGCCACTCCAGGACCTTGAGATGCTTCTTACGGAGCCACTCCTTAGTTGCCCTGGCTGTGTGTTTGGGGTCGTTGTCATGCTGGAAGACCCAGCCACGACCCATCTTCAATGCTCTTACTGAGGGAAGGAGGTTGTTGGCCAAGATCTCGCGATACATGGCCCCATCCATCCTCCCCTCAATACGGTGCAGTCGTCCTGTCCCCTTTGCAGAAATGCATCCCCAAAGAATGATGTTTCCACCTCCATGCTTCACGGTTGGGATGGTGTTCTTGGGGTTGTACTCATCCTTCTTCTTCCTCCAAACACGGCGAGTGGAGTTTAGACCAAAAAGCTCAATTTTTGTCTCATCAGACCACATGACCTTCTCCCATTCCTCCTCTGGATCATCCAGATGGTCATTGGCAAACTTCAGACGGGCCTGGACATGCGCTGGCTTGAGCAGGGGGACCTTGCGTGCGCTGCAGGATTTTAATCCATGACGGTGTAGTGTGTTACTAATGGTTTTCTTTGAGACTGTGGTCCCAGCTCTCTTCAGGTCATTGACCAGGTCCTGCCGTGTAGTTCTGTGCTGATCCCTCACCTTCCTCATGATCATTGATGCCCCACGAGGTGAGATCTTGCATGGAGCCCCAGACCGAGGGCGATTGACCGTCATCTTGAACTTCTTCCATTTTCTAATAATTGCGCCAACAGTTGTTGCCTTCTCACCAAGCTGCTTGCCTATTGTTCTGTAGCCCATCCCAGCCTTGTGCAGGTCTACAATTTTCTTACTGGTTGGTAGGTGATCAAATACTTATGTCATGCAATAAAATGCAAATTAATTACTTAAAAATCATACAATGTGGTTTTCTGGATTTTTGTTTTAGATTCCGTCTCTCACAGTTGAAGTGTACCTATGATAAAAATTACAGACCTCTACATGCTTTGTAAGTAGGAAAACCTGCAAAATCGGCAGTGTATCAAATACTTGTTCTCCCCACTGTATGTGTGTGTGTGTGTATATATTAGTGTAGGTTTTGAGAGCAATGGAGGGGAATGAAAACAAAAATGTATGCACTCTGGATAAGAGCGTCTGCTAAATGACACATTTTTTTTTTAAATGAATGATGTGTGACAGAATATAGTAACATTAGAGAAGTATTGTAGACCAAAAGCCCATTTTTTCTGTTAACTGAATCTGAAATCATTGGTTTTATGAATGTTTGGTTGGATGCGTTACTGTATGTGAATAATTTCTGCTTTTTGTAAATTAGACACCAATATAAAACACATTATTAATAATAGTTATCTTTCAATTATTCGTTTCGACATCTCACTGTGGGATTCACCAGAATATCCTAAGTAGCTCGAAGACAGACAGGTCGAGTGGCGAATTAGGGAGTCCCTCCACTCATACTATAGAGCCACTCGCCCGACTTGATCTGTTTTCCTGTTTAACTGATCACAGTTGTGCTGTTAACGTTACCAGTGTTGCCAACTTAGCGACTTTGTCGCTATATTTAGCGAGTATTCAGACCCCTCTAGCGACACATTTTCAAAAAAGCGACTAGTGACAAATCTAGCGACTTTTTATGGTGTTATTGATGACTTTTGGAGACTGACGTGAAAGCATATATCGTTCTTACTCTTCTCAACGAGCAGCGGGTGCTGCCGTGGGCCCCACCCGGGCCCCACCCCCGTCCCAAAGCACTCACAGGCGGCCCAGTCCTCGCGCAGCAGTCCCTCCCAGCTGCTGTCAGAGCAGGAGATGTTCACCCCTCCGCGTCCAGACTGCAAATGAATTGCGCATGCAGGAAGCCGCCGCTGTCTGTTCCTGCCCTGGCTTACATTCAGGGCGGGATATAAATGTAGGGTGTTTTTTACTCACCTTTTGTCTCTACCACAACGTTATTCCTCTCTCCTACAGCGTCCATCACAATTACATGCACATGGCCAATTATGCAAATTAGGTGATGACGTCATTTAGTGACTTCTAGCAACTTTTAGGACAGCCAATAGCTACTTTCCATACTGAGGAGTTGGCAACACTGAAGGTTACATCGCAGAGCGCAGGATTAACAGCTCTCGTCTTTTGTGTTGGGTGACTACCAAAAGGAACATTTTCAAATTTCGGGTAAGAATTTGCTTCACTGATTTTCTTCCTTCGTCTCCAGTTGTAGCTAGCGTCACAAGGCTAGCTGTGGAGACTTAGCTAGCTTAGTTTCCAGATTAGCTATACTACTGACTAGCTTTTCTGCATCGAAGGGTAGAATTTCTAGTTCGCGCTGTCGTTTAATTCAACCCTCCACCGGCGTTGACTAGATTGCTTATTGGTCGAGAGCCATGCTTTTGTTCGTCGCAAGACCACACAGTGCTAGCTTCCTTTGGCTAACTTTGTGCTAACTAGCTAGGCAACTAGCCCATGTAGCGAATTCTAGCTGCGTTCACATTGTTATAGGATCAGCTTCTCTGGCTAGCACTATGCTAACTAACTAGGCTACTAGCCCAAGTGGCGAACGTTGGTTACATATTACTTTGTTCTCCCCAGGGGGTACCAAGCAAGGCCCCAGCACCAGCACACCTGTGCCTATGGAGGGTGTACATTTCGGGCAAGGACATACACTCCCTGTGTGTCGTCTGCCTGGCTATTGTTAAATTGCATCAATTCAAATCTGGTATAGGAACAAAAAGAGGTCAATACACGTCTTCTAAAATAGACTAGTATTTTAATTAATGCAAACACTTGAATGGTAAATATGATGTTCGTATATACGGGCCCACTGAAACACCACGCAGGGCAGACAGAGAACTGAGCTATTGTTATAAGTTCTTATTTAAATACTCTGACAGAGATAGTTCCCGCTCCCTGCTGGGCCTGTCAGAATAGAGGCTGGGTGTGGTTTAAACTTACCCAACCTATCGTTGGCGCTCAGGCTGGTCCCAGCCCCTTGGCGCTTCACTGTTGCCAGGTGTTAGTTGTTTCTGTTGCAGTACACATGTCCTTGAGCGGTTTAACAAAGAGGCATTGTTTGTGTGTGAGACACAAGTCTATCTCAGCCTACCCCCTAACGGTTCCTCACATTAATCACAGCTTGTTATGTTAAACAATCTATATCAGTACAGCACAAACCTATTATGTTTAATCATTAATGTATTCTTTCTAAGCTAGGCATCACATCTAGTTGTAAGAAAATAGATCCCCACAGTATCGAACACGCGGAAGCTGCGTTCGACAACCCCCGGCCAAGCATCCATTGTGGAGTTATGCGGTTAACACACTCAGCCGGAGAATGCGCAAAGCAGCCCAACGTGGTTCGTCTCCCACTCTTAACTCGAGCGGGGAGACTGCCTCGCAGACCCAGCCCTCATGGGCCGACGTCATGGATGGCTTCCCCGACGATTGCGAG